GCTTTTCGTGTTTAGTTTATTGTCCTCCCCCCGCACCTTCGATTAACACTGTTGGCTACACACAGTGCGAAAGAAGTTCAAACATACATACGTGTATTTTAAATCATGGATTCCCACTCACTCACGAGCCCTCTAAGTACGTGGTTTTAATCTATGCCTCCAATTGTCGGCACTTGCCCGAGAGTCATCCGCTTGTGTGGGGGATTGCCTTCCCAGAATTCAGCCAAACATCTCAAGCAGGACTCTCCCAACAGAGTCGGAGAGACGCTTAGTTTTTTTGTCCACTTCTCAGTCACTGATGTGTGTTAATCGTCTGCGTTGTAAAGTCAAGAACTGATATTGTTTATCCAGAGAGAGGGAACTTCTCGATCACCAATTATAAGTGGTGCTAATCAGTTGCCAAAGCTCTCTCATCATGATTGGCATAACTATGAAGAAAATTACACGTAATTTAAAATCATTTTATAGCATGTCATTCAAAATATTCATGTCCAGACCAAGCAAACGTTGTTCTAGAAAACCATCCCCTCGAATCCAAAGCCAATAACATATCCGGAGACTTACCTTCCGCTGCTAACATTTCTGTCCGATTCAGAATGTTGGCTCGTCAAATACGAGGTCTGTACAGACTGTCTGTCGCAAGATTAATTTTCGCCAGAAGCTACTCTGCAAGGGTAGAACCAGCCTTTGCCTCCATAATGTGCATCTGCCTTGATGTTAACGACGGCCGATTAACACGAAATCTGAACTTCATCCGGAATTATTTAAGCACCCTGATCTGGCCCCGTTCTGTCCTAATTGTGTGTGGTTTTTTTTTTTATATAAACCTCTTCATAGGATTCAAGCAATACTGTATTTGGTACAGAATTCAAGATTATGCAGCATCGGCATACGTTGTATCTAGTGGTAGTGCCTTATGCCGATAATCCCCACTCCGCGTTGCAAAAAAAAGAGAATGAGAAATTCAATCCTACTATTAGTCAACACCTAATATAGCCCATAGGTTAATAATCAACGCTGCGTTTTATCTATCGATGTTTTTGTTGTGTTCTCAGGCAGTGTTCACGATGTAAAATTGCGTGGCGTTTGCTATTGTAATTGTTGTGCTCAGCGGGGCCGCACACCTGCCAACACGGTCCCTTCCTGCGTGTTTGTTTGTGTGTCGCTCTGTGTTGTGGGGGGGGTGGGGGGGGGGAGGCTGTGACCCACTGTCAGCGAGTAACGAACAAAGCAGCGGCCGATCGGGGACGCGTGCGAGTCATGGCGATCGAAGCGGGCTTCAGAGGGACAAGCCTCCGAATCCAAGAAGGCCGGTGGTGCGGCTCCCGTTTTGAGCCGAAGCCACACACGCAAAAAACACAAATTGGTCACACGCGATAACGATCGGTCCCGGCCCTTTGCCTTCAAAACCCAGCGCGCTCTCGTGCCCGCGGCCCCCGTGGCCCAGTGGAGTTGCACCTCCATCGATTTACTCTTTGTTCATTGAATTTTTGTTGCACCAAGCAGCCGGAGGCCAACTGAGCATTAATTAGGAAATAAGACAATAAGTGAGATGTATAACAAAAATTACGAGAAGGCGCTTGAGCGTGTTTACGTGCAATTTGAATCGGTCGCCGCGACGCCCCGGGTCGATGGGGGTTTATTTCGGGATAAATTGAAATGTTGAAGCAATTTTGCCGCTAAACTGAATCCGAAGTTCCGTTGATCTGTGTTGACGGAAGCCTCGGGTTGAGCGGGGCGTTTGAGGAGACTGTGGCACCCCAACATCTCTCTCTCTCTCTTGCACCCTCCGGTGATGGAAACACACCATGGGGGGGGGGGGGCGGGGGGGGGGTCATTATTGTCAGGACGTTATCCTTGATTCTAGCAAATTAAACATCAATTCGTCCGGACAGAGAGACCCAGCGTTGACGAAACGTCAGCAAGCGATGAGGTCTTGAATGTAATTGAACACACGATTGAATGAACATTTTAAATTATTATAATTCTTATGTTTTTTAAAGTCACATTTATAACGTGATTTCTCGACCATGGCTAACATCGGTGCGGAAGTGATATCTTAAAGAGATCCTGGCTACCCTTTTACCAATGGACACTGACCCATTCACTCTGAATGGGGGGAGGCCTTGAGTTACCAACGAGCTGTAACTTTAAATTTTTTAAATTTAATATCAAAACATTATTATGTGGGGAAATCATGAACGTGTGTGCACTTTAAGCTCAACAAAATCTAGCGGCAGCAAACAGACGCTTCGTAGGTTTTGCGCGCTTGTGCCTGTGTAGCTCTCCGATGTGTTTTTGGGGCAAATCCACAAATGTATCCACGGGCCCAGCATAATTTAATATTCGTATTCTTTGGTTCTTTCGGTAAAGTCACGTAGATAGAAATAATAATAATAATAAAGTGAATATTCGCTTTATTTAACTTTATTAACATTCACTTTTTAAATTATTTCTTCTATCCACGTGACTTTTACCGAAAGAGCCAAAGAATATGAATTCCTTGCGGTCACGAATGTTGCAAGTGAAAAATGTAATATTTGTAACGAGTGGTGGTAATTTATAAATGTATGTTATTTATTTGGTTATGCGGCTTTGCCCAGTGGTGCGTGAGCGCAAACAACAACATCTCAACACATTTGTGAACACTGCCAAAAAGGAAACATGCGTGCGTGTGTATATATAATATCTGTAATAGTAGTCCCTCCTTTTAGCTGAGAGAAACAATAGCCTGAAACGCCACCTTTTAAAGATATGCTCACTTTAGGTAATATGACGCTTTCGTGATTTTGTTGTTGTTGTTGTCAGGAATCTACGCAACAAGCCTTAAACACCTCCCCCCCCCCACTCCCGCACAAAGTGAAGGTGACGTGTATTGCGTGATATCGAAGCGCACGTGCGCCCGTCTGTTCCTCACGAAAATTCCGCAACCGATTGATGAGCGGCTCTTGGGGTTCATCGTAAATCATTTCCGTTTAAGAAGGGGTGGGGGGGGGGGATGGCCGTGTCCACGTAGCGAGCATCTCTCTCCCCTCCCAAAACCGTGGGTTCACGCGACGGTCAGACCAGAGAGGTGGAGAGTCGGGGTGGGTGGGTGGGGGGAAGTCTAGTGCCTAAGCAGATCTTATCTATGAAGTGTGGTGTACTATATTTCACACTGCCCGCTCCAGTGGAAAGAATAACTCAAGACAGAACCTGTGGCAGACTGTGAAGGTTCTGCCAGTGCTCGAGATGTCTGTTTTGTGTCAGGGTCGGGCTTCAGGGAACATGACGAGAGGCGGTGACGTTTGGGGAAGGGGACACTGTGTTCCCCTAAACCGCAGGGTAGCAAAAAACCAAAATAATCTTCGCTTCCACTCTTGAGAAAATGAACGTACACTCGCAAAACTGCATCGCCGAAACAGAAATCTCCCCAGATTTGGGGTCATGTAAGGATTATTATTCGGCAGATGTGAGCCTACACATCTGCTTCGTCTATTCACAGTTAGTACATTACACTCGAGATGTTTATTTAATGTCTGCTTTTATTACTGGAACTGTGTCGTTCGTGGGATCGTTCAAATGGGGTTTTGGCACTCCCTTTATCATCTATGGGGGGGAAGGGTGGGGGGGGAGTGGTGGTGCAGTGGTTAGCACGCTGAGCTGTGAGCCGCTATCACCCGAGTTCGATTCCCAGGCATGGCTAACCCGGATGGTGAGTTACAGCAGGACCAGTCTTGACCTCCGTTAACCTGCACTGACCAGCGTGGTGAAGTATGACTAAAAAAAAAACTGCCATGATTAACATGGCATGGAAAGGACTTCATCCAAAGGGGAAAATGAAAATGGCCTGAATGTTTTATCTTCTGATGATAGTTATGCTAAAGGTGTAATGATTCAATCCTCTGCGATGCAGGGTCATGATTTGATGAATAATCAATTCCCTTTTTAACATTGTGGTAAATTAGAGCACCTTGAGTCACTGCAGAGGTCACATTACCATGTGACATACAACCCTTACGAACAGAAAAACATTGATTCTTAAACACATGACTTATTGCTTGTGTAGCGAGCGGAATAATCAATATTTAATGCTTGCATCATCACACCCAAAATGAACACACATGCACCACATGTATGCACATCGATATACTGCGAGGGTAGAGCGGTGGCGCAGTGGTTAGTGCACTGCGCTATGAACCCAGTGTCATGAGTTCGATTCCTTCCAACGGCTAACGCCAGCGGCGAGTGATAACCGAGCAGTCGTTCTGCCCTTTATCCACTCGTACTCATAAAGCTTGGTGAAGTATGGTCAAAAATCACCCATGACCAAAAAGCATGGGATTGCCTTCATCCAGCAGTATATTAACAAACGGCTGTGATTGTCCTTCTAGGATGTAACGCACTATGTATACTTGTGTTATACCTGTGTCTGCTATAGGTACTCAACAGAAAGCTGCTGTGCCAATCATTGTCTGAACGCACGGTTCTGTGGTAACGGTGTTACTTTATGATGGCTAAGCATTTACAAACTTTTGGCTGCATAGTTCAACGGTCTTTTTACGAGTAATTTTCCGTCTGTGTCATTGCACGCGTGCCTGCGTGTGTGTGTGTCTACAATCGTTGCAAGCGTGCACGCTCTGCACACCATGTGTGCAGAGGCAGAGGCCATCTGAAAAGCATCGACAAATGCTAAAATGCACCGCTCCGACTTTCGCTTACCCTGTGAATTACTGAAGGTGTAGTAAGATTCACTCGTGCACCGAAAGAAGGCCACTGAGATTTAAAAACAAAGCATCGCAACAATTGCTCATGTTCATGTGAAGTCCTTGTTACGAAGGGCACAAGTGATGCGGGCTCTGTTGCTTTAAAACTGTACCCTGGGCTGTTGTGTTTGGATGAGGGTTGTTCCGGTAACTGCCGCTGCTGCCACCGCCGCTGCTGCTGCTGCTGTGTGCATGGCTTGGCTCTCGCTCCGCTCCACGCCGACTCCCGTCTCTGTGTCTCTGCGTCGTTGGCAGGCGTTCCTACAGCGGATGAGGCAATGTGCGGCTGCCAAGACTGACAAGCACATCACGGACGAGACGATCGCGGTGAGCGGTTCGCGCAAGTCGGGGCGTCGGTGTCTCCGATGTTGTTGTTGTTGTTGTTGGGTCGCGACCCCCGTGGTGTTACCCGCACGCTGTCCCGCACGTGGCTCGGAGCCGCTAATTATTCCTCCTCCTCCTCATCCTCCTCTTCTTCGGTTCGGTTGCTGAAGAATTAACCCAGCACGTGGAGCAGAACGTCGGACACCGTGCGGAGCGCCGCGCGGTAAAAAAAACTCCGTGAAGCTCGTCGGGAGAGATGTTGCGGCACAACCGCCACGGTGGCGAGGAGATGTTAACTACCTCGCCTGGTGTGCAGGAGGTCGTGGGTTCAATCCCGACCCTAACGCCTGTTGCGTATTTGAAGTGTGCACGTCTCTCTCTCTCTCTCTCTCGCCGTGGTCGTGTGGATTCTACTCCGTGTCCTCCGGTTATTCCCTCCACGTTTAGAATCGGCGTCACGCGTTTAGAGTATTTGACTGCCACACATTTCCGCATGATGAGCCACTTCGTTGAGCTATCATTTGCGATAGCAAGGTCGTTTCTGAAAAGGAGACGCATAGCTCAGTGGGCCTTACCTGTTTAAATTATTATATATTTTAAAATGAATTATTGTCGAAGTTGCCTTCCGCTAACAAGGCACCATCGCCAGTACGCACGTGTGAGCACGGTGCATGTTAACGATTCACCAATAACCTCCCACCCCCATAATGTTCATGTTGTTCAACTGGTCATTTGAATCGTAAGCACTCCAGAACTTTTCGCTGATTTGTTTTCTGCCACCAAGTTTAATTCTGCGTTTTTGCTACACCTGAACCTTGTTGGCTGTTAGTTTTAACATTATTGATTGATTGACCTGCCCTTAGTTTGTCCTGTGCTTACTTTGCACAACTCACAAACAATTGATTCCAACGCACACGATTAATTGCACGTATCGTGGCAGCGAAACTCGATTGTCAATTGTTGAGCGGGTGCATTGTTTTCTTTGCCCAATTACCACCGCCCCAATCACCGGTTCCGCCATCGAGTATCATGACCATCAACCAAGACGACCGTTATAACCGTCCATCACCATCCAGAGATCACCGTACAGTCATCCTTTAGCTATTATCCACTATCCAAATATTATATGTTGGAATTCTTAAAAGCAAAACGTCAATTTTTTCGGGGATGGGGTGGGGAACGGGGTTTAGTGTGATTTTTAAGAGTCAAAGGAGAACCCCCTATACGCGTTAAAATATTTTCACATAATTTCACCGCAGTCATGTATCTCGCAGCAGTCCACCACGGTGCACATGAAGTCCATGAGACGGTTAATTAAACATATCGCATGCACAGCAATATTATGCATTGGCAAAGCATCACAATGCCCCGAAGCTCCTGTGGCTTTTCTAGATAAATACATTTCGCTGTCATTTCTAATATATTATAAATATCCGAAGTAGTTTAATGGTTGGCGCACTGGACTTGCAAGCCAGAGAGATTGCCAGTTCCTCACGGCAAGGTGAAACAAAGGTGCGCAGGATTCTTAAATCCCCCACAACCATCACCACCACCACCACCACCTCTGTCCGACCAGCAGTAGAAACCTGTTCACCACAGTTAGTGGGGCACCCCAGCTGGCGAGATGCTGTCTGCTTCGCCTGGTATGCAGGAGCTCGTGGGTTCGATCCCGACCCTGACACCTGCTGTATATATGGAGTTTGCGTGTCTCTCCACGTGGTCACGTGGATTTTTCTCCGGGTCCTCCGGTTTTCCCCTCCACGTTTAGAATCCATTCCGAGGCGTGAGAGCAACACCATTATAAGAGTAGAAAAATGCGTTTATAAATGTGCCACTTCGTCCAGCTATCGTTTGTGGCCAGGTCGCTTCTGAAACAAAAGAGTTAAATAGCTCAGTGGACCTTACCTGGTAAAATAATGTAGTTGAGTGTCATAGTTTAGCTTTAGTTTCATCGATAGACTGGATTCGTGTGGTGGGCGCTCCAAAATCTCCTAAGGCCTCTGGCCAGTGTGGCAGCGTAGGCCCAATGCTCACTGGAGGGCCTCGCTGGAGCTCACTCGTGTGGACGTTCGTCCGCCAGCAGTGGCGTGAGCAAGCAATTGCAGGGCTGCACCTTTAACCCTTCCGTTGAATGCCCATCACTGCGACGCATGTTTTTGCTACGTCTTAATGGCCACGGTACGTTTATCGCAGTGTACGTTAATCATGTTGCACTAATCCATTCCGAGGCGTGAAAGCGACACCTTCATAATGTGCTTAAATCTGACTCGGTTTTCACACTTTTTTTTAATGCTCATTCGCACGCGCGCGCACGCAGGCACGCGCGCTCGCAGCAGTGTGCTCAAATAATTGAGCGGATCCTCCTTCATGCGACTAATTCCGTCCATTTAAGCTAATCTCATTAATAATAAAACATGGCATCAAATTGACTCCGCGCACACGCCACTGCCGGTAGTGCTGCCCCCCTCCCCACCCCCCACGCATGTACGCTGTTTGCTTCCCCGGGGACTGCCTTGTGTGATGTATTATTACATTTATTAAATATGCTCGTTTAACGAGGAAGGCAATCGCTGAGTCTCACGGCACTTTTGCGGGAGGGTCCAGCCAAGTTTTTGCGCAGCAAGGGGGCGACGTTGCTGCTGCGTTAATCCCAATTGGGTAGTTTACGGGTACATTTTAGCAGCTTTACCCGTTAACATTGTACGTGCTTCCTTTTTTATTTATTTTGTTGGCGGTTAGATGGAAAGAGCGGAATCCGGAGGAGAAAAACCTGTGCAGAATAGGGAGGAGAACGCACAAACTCCACTCGGACAAAGGCACCCGAGTTGGGAATCGAATCCAGGCCTTTCTTGATTGGAGGCTCGCGTGTTATCGCTACGCATCCCGCTGGCTGGCGGTGATTTAGAACAACGTGGCCCTGCGATCCGAAACGCTCGCTTGCCGAATTTGGAGGCGACGACGACAACGCCCATTTATGCCCGGACTTTTTTCTTCTTACATTTTCAAGTTGAGCGAACGAGTGATGCTTCGAGCTCCTCAGCTGTGCATTCAAGATTCTGGGTCAAACCGTTGTGTTCCATTGCATCTGCCGAATAATGGATGCCTTTTTTTTCTTCTTCATTATTGTGGTATATAGGCCAGTAGCCTTTGGGTAAGAGGGTTTCTTACTGACGTGCAATTGTGTATTGTGTACAGCACGCGCAGTGTAGCGTTTGTTTAAAAAAAAACTCATTTGGAGATGGCCAAGTGACCCAGGCGTCAGGACACTGGGACAGCGATGCTGAGAGAGACAGAGTTCGAATCCGAGGTTGAGTGGCCGTGATTAATATAACTGCTTTCTCAACTGTTAAGGAGCCGATCATCTCTGTAAATAAAAAAATCCTCACTTAATTTGCCTAAATTCTAGATCCATTAGTGAGAGGGAGCCTTATTGTGAGTTTTTATTGAGAGAGACTGAGGGGGAGTGAAGAGTAGCACGAGTGTGAGTTATGAGATGGAGCGGTAGTGTAGCAGACAGCGCGCTGCGCTACGAACACAGCGACCCGAGTTCGATTCCCGCTCGTGGCCAACACCAGTGACGATTGTCTGAACCAGTTATACGCCTCCCCTAGGTCGACTCAACCTTAAATGAGTACCGGGTGCGGTGTGTAAACATCGCCACTGGGAAGACAAAGGCAGTCGGTGTGGTGCTGGCCACTCGCCTCCACTTGACGCAACAATTTCTCAAGGCTACACGGGGCGATCTTTGCCTTGGTTTTTTGTGTGGACTAAAAGGCTGAGTGTGAGCCGTCGCGTGCATTGCCGTGTCTCTCATGGTGCAGCACGTGGCCGTGTCTCTCATGGTGCACGTGGCCGTGTCTCTCATGGTGCAGCACGTGGCCGTGTCTCTCATGGTGCAGCACGTGGCCGTGTCTCTCATGGTGCAGCACGTGGCCGTGTCTCTCATGGTGCGTGTGGCCGTGTCTCTCATGGTGCGTGTGGCCGTGTCTCTCATGGTGCAGCACGTGGCCGTGTCTCTCATGGTGCAGCACGTGGCCGTGTCTCTCATGGTGCACGTGGCCGTGTCTCTCATGGTGCAGCACGTGGCCATGTCTCTCATGGTGCACGTGGCCGTGTCTCTCATGGTGCAGCACGTGGCCGTGTCTCTCATGGTGCGTGTGGCCGTGTCTCTCATGGTGCGTGTGGCCGTGTCTCTCATGGTGCAGCACGTGGCCGTGTCTCTCATGGTGCGTGTGGCCGTGTCTCTCATGGTGCACGTGGCCGTGTCTCTCATGGTGCAGCACGTGGCCGTGTCTCTCATGGTGCAGCACGTGGCCGTGTCTCATGGTGCGTGTGGCCGTGTCTCTCATTGCGCGTGCGCAGGTCCTCTTCTCGAACGTGGAGGAGCTGCTGTCCGTGCACAGAGACTTCCTCTCCGCCATCGAGAAGTGCCTGCAGCCCGAGCCGCTGCCGCACCACCAACTTGGGGGCTGCTTCATCCACTTCGTACGCCACGCTTCCTGCCGCACCTCACTTTCCTCCCTAGATTAAAACTAAACTCTTTTTAAGTCACCGGGTAAGGCCCCACTGGGCTCTATAGCTCTTTTTTCAGAAGCGACCTGGCCACAAATGATAGATCGACGAAGTGGCTTATCACCACGTGGAAATTTGCAGAAGCCAAATACTATAAACGCGTGTTTCTAAATGTGGAGGTAAAAACCGGAGGACTTGGAGAAAAATCCACGCGTCCACGGGGAGAACACACACACTCCAAATATCCAGGCGCCAGGGTTGGGAGTGTTGTCCCTGCTTTGCACGCGATTGTTGTGAGTTCAGGTGGTGGTAGCTGCTCCAGTGCCTCGTGGGTTTGCTGGTGGGGTCCGGACACCGGGCTACCAAGATGTAGAGAAGGCAGACAGAGGGCCCACGTTTATATTCTTGGCACAAGGACCCTATGCCCAGTACGCTATGCCGCTGTGTAAGCCAGTGGTGAACATTCCACATTCTCGTGGCGATGACCAGTCCAGCTATAGGACAAGCATTTTTTACATCCAACAAAGTGGTACTTGTTTTACGAACCCCAGAGCGATGATGGGCTGAGTCAACCCCGATGTGGGATTTGAACTCGCGATTGTCCAATTGTCAGGCTTGGTAAAATAAATAATTATACATTTAGAACATTTAGGAACATCTAGGTGTTACTTTCTGCAATTTTGAACGTTCCGCTTTTAATCACACAAATGTCGTGTTATGCCTGCAATTGTAACGCCACGCAAAATGTAACTGTTAAATGAAACGCACCACGTGCAGGGTAATGCTTGACAATACTTCCCTGGGGCCAATAAAATGAGTTCCACTTTGGGAGTGGAATTCAGCGATGATTTTGCTACTGAGAGACTCAATACCGGCGTGGGAACGTGGAATTCCCACTCCACATTCCCACGCCAGTATTGAGTCTCTGAATTGAATTCCCACTCTGGTGCTGTCATCAGGAGATGGACGGCCACCTCAATGATCGTTTGCTCAGGAATTCACCGCCCACAATTTGGACCGTTGAGGAAACTTGTTTCAGGAGATTTTTTCGGCCAATGAACGATGAGTGTTTATACTTGTGGGAGGAAACCGGAGCAGAGGAGAAAACCCACGGCCGCGAGGGAGAAACACTCTATCCCCTGTACTGATGTAAACATATGGCGTCGGCCTTATGCTAGGCGAGTCAGGGGGTTGCAGATCATCAACTCCCACGGAGCCGGCGTATGTAGCCACCGCCACCCGACCGCCACCCGACTTAAAAGTTGAACATTTTGTCAAAACCCATTGAGGGATTGGCAGCGACCCTCGAAGGGCTGACCACAAAGACGTTTCATGAGCGTGACAGGACAACACGGTGCAGTGCATCATCAGCTCACAAAGAGTGTAGAGCCAGGAGAGCGTGGTGCGGTAAAACAAGAAGAGAGTTAAACAATAATCCTGACCGCCCCTTTCCTTTTCCGCGTCTCGATGGAGCCCACCGACTTGCCGGCATGTTTGTCTTTGTTTGCAGCATTGGAGCAAAACGGCTTTAAATTTGGAACGGGTACCCCCCCCCCATCGCCCGCCGCCTCCCTAGGCTGTTTTTTTTCAGTTGTGAAAATCGGTCAGGACTCTGATGGAATACATTAACATGAAACGGGAGGCAGGAGGGAGGGGGGGGGGAATGGCGGAATACATTTTTTTCGTTTTTAAAGTCAGGAATTCATGAAAAACGTGAGTTTGGCTCAGAAACCCTCCGTGCAAGTGTGGCATTGAGGTGAAACCTGGGCATGAACAATAACAAAAAAAATTGAAACGTTTATTGCTGCTGGGAGTTTAATTTAACGAGAAGAGGAAATGGGTGGGAGGGTGCTGCATAGGGAGGGGGGGGGGTGGTTGCCTGTCACTCTTTAGATTTGGCAGACTCTAAAGGCAGAGCACCTGGTGCGAGCTTCCCCATGCCGATGCCACATGTGGCGTGCGCTGATTGGGAAACTTCTGCTAAAGAGGCAGAGAGAGAGTGGTTTGGGTGGTGACTGATGATGATGAGTCGAAAGAAATTTGCTCATCTCTCCTGTTTTATAGTCCTGAGCCAGTGATTGAAAAATCCATATTGCTGTGGCAGTCTTTTTACTCCTGACTTCCCGACAAAGTGGTACTTTGTCCATTGGCCCCAAAGGAATGAAAGGCCAAGCCAAACCCCTAACTGGGAATTGAACTCGTGTGCCTTCCGATTGCCAGCCGTTGCACTCCACTGGTCTACTGCTGCGCCACCTGGCAGACTAATATACAACGTTTACATTTTAACTTTATTCGCGAACATGCAGTTGCTAGAGTGCCTCTCTGTCTGCAAACTCTGCACCGGGCTAGTTTGTAGACAGTTCAATTCACACATCTGATGAAAAAAAAAGTCTGTAATGTTTTTTTTCCTCCGAAGCAGGATACATGGTAGTGGAGGGGTTAGCGCTACGCTGTGCTACGAACCCGGCGACCCGAGTTCGATTCCCGCTCACGGCCAACACCGGTGACGATTATCTGAACGGGTCCTGGGCCTCCCCTAGGTTGACTCAGCCTCAAATGAGTACCTGGTGCGGTGTGTGAACATCGCCACTGGGGAAACAAAGGCGGCCGGACGTGGTGCTGGCCACCCACTCCCTCATGTGCTGTGTTGGCCTTTATAGGTGCTCGCTAAAAGCACTTGCCCCAACAGTATGTCCAGGCTATGGTTCGCAAAATTGCAACCTGGCGACCAGGTTTGGATTCCCGCCCACGATTAACATCAGTGGCCGAATTGTATCTGAAGTCGTCCTTGGCCTCACTGATGTTTTTTTTGTTTAATTAAATTATAGCCCATTGTCAATCCACTGCTGGATGAAGGCCTCTGCTCTCTGCGTTGGCTACGGGATTGCTTGGCCGTACCACAACAAGACTGGTCACTGTGGGTCAGCGAAGAGGTCAGCTCGGACCGGTTCTGATACCGATCGCCACCGATTCCAGCCGTGAATGGAAATAAAACGGAGGCCGCCGTTCTCATAATGTGGCGTGTGTAACCTTCAGCAGCGGCGAAACGTTGGCGATGAAGCACGGTGCCGGCCAGGTCACACCTTCGTGCGCCGTGCCACGCTTCACGTGCCGCCCACTCGACTGCACTTGCCCTGAAGGCCTTCACGGCTGAGTGGGGGAATCATTGTCCCTTCTGCGTGAAGCGCATATCGGTGTGAGCCCTTAGCCTGACATTGTTCCTCCTCGTGCAGAAAGAGAAGTTCCGGATCTACGAGGAGTACTGCAGCAACCACGAGAAGGCCCTACGTCTCTACCTGGAGCTCAACAAGATTCCGTCCGTGCGAGCATTTTTCGTGGTGAGGGAGATCGAGCGCGTGGGCGTGTGCGTTTATTTTTTTTTGGGCGCCGTTGATGTTGATGCGGAGCAACAACTATGATTGTTTTTTTTTTATTGAGGTGGCTGAGCCAGATCGTTTGCGTCCTGAGTAGCGGAGTGTGCCGCTGTGATGACTTTCGGGCGTTGAGTCGTTACACGTTACGAGGTTCTGTTCTGGGTGGTGACCAGAGTCGCAGCACACTGCCGGAGAGTTTTCAATTTTCCATTGGTGGAATCGTCATGGTTTGCGCAAAGGATGCGGTTTACGGTTGTGGCCCATAAGCTTTGCGGTAGAGCGAAGCCAGCGATCTTCTGCGTCCGGTCTTTCGCAAGGTGTTCGTGACTTCTTGCGAACCTCATTTGGCTTTCCAAACAACAACATCATCATCATCATCAGGGTTGAAGTTGCGTCTTGAAGGTGAAAGTGCGTGGGTCCAAATTGTCTTGCGCGACTTCAAGCGGTTGGTGAGGGACATCATTGAGATCATCGTGTGAGTGCTGGAGGAAAGCGAGGGCGAGTAATTGATAGAGAGAGAGAGAGCGGTGGTGAGTGAGTGTGAGAGCGATTGAGCGAAGGAGAGAGTGAGTCAAATACCAGCTGTGCGTCTTTGTATTTGTGGCTGCCCAGTCCCCAGCCCAATCTCTCGGTTCATGCTGCACATGCGGTCACTCGTTTTGGTTTCCCCCAGGTGTTGTGCATTTTAAAAACATGCCGGCTACCATAAGCTGTGCGTGCTTGGGGAGCGGTGGGGAGCGGTGGCACAGTGCTTAGCGCACTGCCCTTTGAACCCGGCAACTCGAGTTCGATTACCGCTCACGGCCAACACCGGTGGTGATTTTCCGAGCGATGATCTCCTCTAGGTCAACTCGGCCTCAAATGAGTACCTGCTGCAAAGTCTGAACATCGTTACTGGGGAGACAAAGGCGGCGCGGTAGTGGCCCCCCACCCCCCCGTGTGCCGTGCCGGCCTTTATAGGCTGTTCGCCAACAACACTTGTCCCCAAAAGCCTGTTTAAGACTATATGGGGGGGGGGGGGGTCTGTCTTTGTTGTGTTCATGTATAACTGACTGCGACATCTCAGTCTCAGCTGGTCGTCTCAGTCATTCGACTCAAAGCACCTGGGTCTGCTCCGTGACCTCCGGCTAAGCGAGCATTCGACATCAAAGTGCACCTAGCCTGGCACAAGCGAAGTGGTGAAGTCGACGTCGCTCGTCGGTGAATGGACGCTGTTGTCGCCATAGTTTTTGTTTGCGAGTGTTTACTGTTGGCGCTGGTCATTTTGTCGAAAATGAATTGTCTACGATACGTAGTCCTGGCCGCACCACCTTCTTCAGTGCCATCCCCCGGCCTTGCTAGTTGCTCACTCACGTGACGCATTAACACGATTGCAACTTGTGTAAATGCGTGGGCACCCCAGCGCGTGCCGCGTGCCCACGCAATGCGGGCACGCCGAGGGGCTGCGGGAGGAAGTTGACTAATTTAGCTTGAAAAAAACGGCGTTGCAAAGGGGGAAAAAAGGCGCAAACAAAAGCGGCCGATGTAATTTCTGCAGAGGGAGGGAAGTTGTGCTGAAACGTCGGGGTGGGGGGGCGGGGTGGGGGGGGAGGTGGTGACGACGATGCCGGCTGCGCGGGGAGGTGGAAGGGGGTGACGGCACGCGTGCCCGCTGTGGTGACGGAGCTCGGCGGTGGTGACGGAGCTCGGCGGTGGTGTCGGGAGGAAGCCGCCGATGTCGAGCCGGTCGCAATTGGTTGCCGAGTCCTTTAAAAGTCTCGCTGTTAAGCCGTCCGCGAGATTAAATTTACGAATGCGGCTCAGTCCATTGTTTAATTTTATTTGCCAACGACAAGCATTCTATTTTTTTTGGCCTCACTTGCCATTGACAGACCCGAGCACCCACCAGTGACCAAAATTCGTATAACTTTATCGACACCGGGCACGAGTTTTGGGTGCATCTTACTTTCTAGAGTGTCTGATGATCCAGAGAATACGGTACGAATAACGTCTCTTGCATTGCAATCCGCCGGTTATTGACCCTGGCAGGGCCTTGATTTTCACATGGTTGCTGTGTTACTAACAGCAATATAACACCTCCGATTAGCACGGTTGGCTGCGTACCGTACGAAAGAAGTTCAACGTGCACGCGTGCAAGGCAGCCCTAGACGCATCGGATTATCTCGGGTTGGTGGAGGGAAGCTAAGATATGGGCAGTTGGGGTTTAGGGCTGTGGGCGTCTGTCCCATGACTGGACCGTCGATGGTCAGCTGGTTGAGCCGTAGTGTCGCTCTTTTTGGGATGTGGGTTGGAACCCCACTTTTATCCGGCACTGCAGAGAGCAGTGCCGGCTTCCCTTGGTGTTGGTGACGCATGCTCACATTTCCATCAATCCCTCTCAATGTGTTGGCTCTGATGTTAATGAAATGTAATTGCACAATACTAGCGGTCAGAGTTTAAGTGCAACTTTTTCTCCAAGAGCTGTGGCGTGGTGGTGGTGGTGGTGGTGGTGATGATTGGTGGTAGTCCTGAGGAGCAATGGGTAGAAATTCCACATTTCCCATAGTGGGGCCAGTCCTTCCATAGGACGAGTAATAATGTTACTTCTATTTAAAGCGTTCGTGACTGCAGGGATTCATCTTCTTTGTTCTTTCGGTAAAGTCACGTAGAAGGGAAATAATAAAAAAATGAAAATAAAACAAAATAAAATAAAATTCTCACGACGTTTCGGCCACAACACAAGCATCCGTCCTCAGGTGAAGAAACAACTGTTGGAGCGCTGTCTTTCTGACAGCTCTCTTTCTTCACCTGAGGACGGCTTCTTGTGTTGTGGCCGAAACGTCGTGAGAATTTTATTTTATTGTTTTATTGTTATCATTTTATTATTTCTGTTCTATGTGACTTTACCGAAAGAAGCAAGAAAATGTTGCTTCTGTAAATTATTGGCATTTTTTTTTTGCATTCATTAATAAAGTACAAAACAAATATCTCCCGTATAGCCTTTAACATATACCACAGGAGCAATTTCTGATAGGGAGCACCTATGAAGGGAGAGGTGGCCAGCACCACGCCAGGGGCCGCCTTTGTCTCCCCAGTGGCGTTATTTACACACCTCGCCATCTACTGATTTGAGGCTGAGTCGACCTAGGGGAGGCCCACGACCGAACTTGGGTTCGTAGTGCAGCACGCTAACTGATGCACTACCGCTCAACTCCGAGGTAAACAACAACAAAAAACCTAAACCACTCCACAAGAAACAGCAGGTTTGTAGGATGTTGAAACTTCCTCTGAAGTCGTATCATTATTGCGTCCTGTCATCACGGTACGATGCTTGTGGAAGTGTAAGAGTGTACGTTGGAGGTTGGTAGTTGACCGTGTAAAAGTTTTCGTGTCTCATTAGGAAGAGACGAGTGAAGGCACGGTGCTTTAGTCACGACAGAATTGGCCATGGCAATCTCTTGCAATGCAACGATAATGGGTGAGGCCGCATGGAAATTCTTGACAATGTGTCTAATCTATTGTCCTATTTCCTGAGACAAAATTGTTTACAGAGCAGGGGTGTATGTGCGGGACCTTTTTTTCTTTCTTGGGGGCCAACATTTTAGGAGCGCGGTGAATAAGGGGCCGTCCATAATGTGACGTCACATCAAAATGCGCAACTTTAAATAAATATAGACAACACGTTCTACTTAATTGAATAGACTTTTAAATCAATGTTTTCTCCTACAACATCAGAGTGCAGCGCCACATTAAATACGCACTACAATGACAATGGTTTAAAGAGATTTGAAGGATGTTTTAAATTTTTAGGGGGGGGGGGGCGGCAGAGCTTTTTGTGACGCTGTGTGACGACGGGAGGGGGGGGGTCAAAAATCATTTATGGACAGCCCCTAATGTGCATGATGTCCGCAGAGTGATGCATCTTTTAAATCTCGATTGAAAACTCATTTCTTTCGAACTGCTTTTCATGGTTTTGGTTTGTCATCCCTCTCCCCCCCCCCACACCTCCGATTAGCACGATTGGCTACGTACGGTGCGATAGAAGTTCAGCATACACTTCACACGGAGTGTAAATAGTATAAAGAAGCGCGCTAAACTTAGACTCGCCGTGCTGTTGCCAGGTTGAAAGCATCCTCCCACGAGGACCTGATCAGTGCAGATAAGGTGGACCCAGTGGACGCGTACATCGTTTGCCGGCCATCTCTAAGCAATAGGCCTCACGTGGCCTTCGACTGGCGTGCGTCCGTGACTTGACCGGTATCGTACATCACGGCCACGCATTGTCCTTAACGCTTTCAGGGGTGCATGCTGCTGGGAGGCCGACGGGACAATGACATCCCCCTGCAGGGATACCTCCTCTCGCCCATACAGAGGATCTGCAAGTACCCGCTACTGCTCAAGGTACGTCCGCTGCTGCCACTTCTCGAGGGTTCACGCTGATGGGGGGGGGGGGGGGGGGGGGGGGGGGGGGGGGTGGGCCCTCTTGTTGCTTCTCGGCCTCTTATCGATTCGCCCACTTTCACCCGCCCCGTCGGTCAATTCGGGCACAAGCGTCAAGGTTAATTTTTCCCGTCTTGTTTTGGTGCCCTGCTCGTGGTGGTGTTCCGTCTCGGTCCTTCCATTCGCCTGAGGGGGCAGCCTGCGCAGGTGCTTTGCATCACTTAACAACAACGAAAATCCATTCCTACAAGCACAACCTGAATGCACGTGCTGCGAGGCGCAGGAGAGCTGCGGACACAGCGGCAATTGCACCGCCCTCTGTGAACCCAACGATCCGAGTTTGATTCCCTGCCATGGCTCGCATCAGTGTGGGGGGGAGGGGGGGGGACATCTGAAATGGTGCTGGATCTCCTCTCCGTTCACCCAGGAACACTGACCAGCGTGCCGAAGCATGGTCACACAGCCCCCCCCCCCCCCCCCCATGACGAACAAATATGAGGCCTTCGTCCAAGCAGTGGATTGACAAAAGGCCGTGAAGTGTTGTAACTGGTCATTAACGTGAGCGTAGCAGCCACTTTCAAACGGTGCATCGGTGCACTTTTTGCCTCCTGTTCTCCAGCCTTCACAGTGCGGCCTCATCACGGGCTTACTGCGTTGCCAGCGCGGCGATTTCCTGAGCCATCGCAATTTTTTGTTAGTTTTTAGCCTTCACGATCGGTACTTTCCCCCACTTTGTGGGCGAATCTGGGCAGTGAAATGTGAGCGTGGCAAGATGGGCGGGTGAGGACCAACGTGTGTGTACTGCCGAAGTGACAGGTTTGTGTGACGTGTCACTTCCGCGCCGCTGCGCTTTGCCGGGCGTTGATGGTTAACTCGAGAGGAACCAGGGCTCCGCTTGGTGTGCGTGTGGTGATGACATCACAATGCTGATGACAACTATGGCAATAATTAGTGCGTCTATGTTGAACTTCTTCCACACCGTACGTAGCCAACCATGCTAATCCGAGGTGCGGGGGAAGGACGAGAAACTAAACACGCAAAATATATATATAAATCATGATGATGATGATGATCATGATTTTTTAATGTTGACAGTGATGACGACGGACACAGATTGATAATTTCCAGCCATAGTGGCGACACTGCCACAGTTTAGTTTCAAGTTTCAAGTTTCATTTGTTAGGTATAGCCCTGTGAGCCATGCGGCTCTTAAGTCGGGTGCAACCACAACAAACAGCAGTGGCGCTGACGACGACGACGACGACGACGATGATGACTGTGACATTGAATATGTTCGTGATACCGCCTACGCTTGCCACGACTGCGATTATGACGACCATGATCGCGATGACGATGACGACGACGACGACGACGACGGCGACTACGATGACCGCGACGACGACTGTGACGACTGCGATGACGACGATGACGCGGTGTGCCGCGTGCCGCGCAGGAGCTGCTGAAGCGCACGGCGCCGACGCACAGCGACCACGGCGCGGTGGGCGAGGCGCTGTGCAGCATGAAGGCCGTGTGCTCGGCCATCAACGAGACCAAGCGTCGCATGGAGCGGCTTGAGGCCCTGCAGGAGTGGCAGTCGAGCATCGAGGGCTGGGAGGTGAGCGGCCGGCGCTGGGCGGACGTCTTGTTGAAAAAGAGCTTCGCAGCTCGTGGGATTTCTCCAGCGTACAAGGAGGATTCGGATTCTGACGCCGTCCGAATTTGCATCCGTGTATGTGTGGTTTGAACTTCTTTCGCACAGTACGCCGCCGACCGCGCTCATCGGAGGTGCGGAGGAAGGACGGCGAACTAAAGGCTGTTTGTGCAGGCTAAACGGGGGATCAAGTTTAAGTGTGTACGGTTTAACCGGGTGGGAACTCAAGAGAGAAGGGGTCGTCTCAATTCGCAAGAGTGACACGGGACTCCAAAACGAGAAGCAGAGACGTAGAAACTAAGAATAACAAAGAGCCAAATAGAGTTGGCGCAAAAACAACTGTGTTGCAGAAGAAATTGCAAAACGGCGCAGAAACATGATTACATATTTAATAAAATAACATTTCCCATCACGAACGTTGGCCCAGCAAATTACTATTGAAAGAACGTTTTACAGTAGACCGGAGTTACAGAAACCTCAAAATGGATTTGGGACGATTCCTGGTTTTATTATGTAAACAAGACAAGGGACGCGCATCTAATGCACAACTGGCAGGGGAAGTTACCGGACGTAAATCGACAGACCTTTGAGAGACACCGTGCGACATTCTGAGAGAAACAGGCCTGCGTCGTCGGCCGCCGCTAGACAATGCGCCGGGGTACAGCGGCTACCCGTCGTCCCGACCAAACACACCGTGGGCAGATGCAGCGTGCGCGACGCATCGTGCCGCGTGTCCTCGCGTGCAAGGCTCGCCGCATTAACGTTGAGCTCGCGGTGCACGCCAGCTGGTTGTGACTGCGGCTCGTTTGTTACCACTGGGGGTGTGACGGACGCGGGCGGGTGGGGGCCCTTCCTTGGTACCCCGTCTCGTCAGCTCTTGCGAACTCTCGGCGTCGCTCGCAGCCAAGACAGTCGGGGGAGGGGAGGGCCTGGTGGTGGTGGTGGGGGTTGGGGGGGGGGAGTTTGGGAGGTTTTTGGCACGACGACGTTGTTGGTGATACCGCGCACGGGCTGTGGTTTGCAGGCGGGGAACGCGGCGAAGAACACCTCCGCTCGCTGGGCCGTCTTTGTTGCTCTCGTCAATTGTTGCCGTTGCAAAACGGTCCGCCAAAATGTTTCATCTTGACGGCCTCGAGCGGCGGTGGTGGTGGTGGTGGTGGCGGTGGGCGCGAGGCATCGGCTAGCCGGGCAAACGTTGATGGCCGCAATCCGCTCACGGGGGACGCTCCAACGTCCATGAAAGACAAAGAGAGAGAGGGAGATAGGCGCATGAAATATCAGATACATTTGAGAACTGGCAATATGTAACCAAGCGAATTGACCTGGAAAGCAAATGAATCTCTCTGATCTCTACCTTGTCTGCATGTCTGCATGAACAATGACAAAAGTCGCACATGCTGCGTAGGTCGTGGTGCATATGAATGAGATGTGAACACGGTCAAATTAAGACTTTTCGATTTATTTGTTAAACTTGGATTTTTTTTTTAACCCGGACTCAAAAGAGCTTGAAGCAGTGCCGTCTTTCCATCCCTGGATCTGCACCAGTAGTGTAAATTCACATTCCTATGGCAAGCGGTGGTTCTCTTTAGAGGGTATTCACTTTTGGCCTCTGAGGAAGTAGAATTTGGATAGCCTGCAGAGAGGTTGGCCTAAATTAAATGTCATAGTTTATCAAAGTTTAGAGTGTGGGTATTCCCACCACTTCCGAGACGTCTGGGCATTGTGGAAGAGTAGGCCAAATACCTTATAGAGGGGCTCTCGAGAGCTCCCTCCAGCGGTGGCTCTTCCACCAGCAGTGGGGTGAGCAAAACATTGTAGGGCTGCACCTCTACCGTTTAACTTGTTTTTGCAATAAATGGAACGTTTATAGTTACTCCAGGGCACTATTATGTAATGATCGTTGCGTGACGTAACCATTGTCGCGTTAATGAGAAAACGTACAGAACGACCAACACACCCTGCAGACATTTGAGAGAAAAGAGAAGTTGAATTCCGCAAAGTGAAATGAGTTATTCCACCCCTTACCAGAAAACTGGTTCTGGAAACCAAAAACCTCACAAGAATGTGCCATGCATCTGGAGAGGAACCGAACCGTGCTTCCTTGATGCCAGGGGCGCAGGCACGTGAAACACATTCTCTGTGGTACGGAACAGGAACCCAGTGTGGTTTTGGAACTCGGCGTGTTCCGTTGGCAGTTTAAATCGTTACAAAAACTCGTCGCAAGCACTGCAGCAGATCACGGGTTTCTCTTGGTTCTCTTGGTTGCAGAGAGTTAAAGGCCTCTGTGGGCGACCTCGTGGTTGATCGAGCCTCCACTCGGCCATTTGGCGCATTCGGTGCAATAATCTGACCATGTCAGGTATTTTGAAAATCCCACAATTCCAGTTCAATTGCCACTATGCAGAAGCACATTCGATTTGCGTGTTAATCTCAGAATTTTTTCAAACAAATCTGATATAGGCAGTGAGTTGTGTGTCCCCGTGTTTATTTTGTCGTGTCATCTTCAAGCCTATCACAAGCCTCGCAAACGTCCAACATGCCCGACATACAATAAGCTCCCACAATCAACCATCGGTCGTCTTCTGGCTATTCACAAAGCGGCTCTCTAGCAGCAGTGTGTGCGTGGGTGGGTGCGGGTGGAGGCAAAGGCTTTCCAGTACACGTCTACAGTTCAATGCCACAGTGTGTGCCTGCTGTCTGATGCAGCGTGGTAAGTTAAAGACCATGTGGCATTACGCCTCAAGAGCAGGCTGTTGTGTGCTATTTGCGTGGCCGTTCTCTCACGCCTGCTTGCGTGACATATAAGGGCCCAGGCTTTCCACTTTAAAGAGCACCATCAATTTCTCCACACCTGGATAAGTACAGGATATCGAATTAAAGCTATCAGAAAACCGTCAGACTTGCTGATTAGAGGGAAAAAAGGTGCCTAGATAGACAATTTGCACACGCACAAAGGTCCCCCGTATAGCCTTAACTGACTGTTAGGGCAAGTGCTTTTAGCAGGCACCTATGAAGGCTGGCACGGCACGCGAGGGGGTGGGTGGCCAGCACCACGCCCGGCCGCCTTTGTCTCCCGAGTGGCGATATTTACACACTGCACTGGGTACTCATTTGATGCCGAGTCGACCTAGGGGAGGCCCAGGACCGGTTCAAATAATTTTCACTGCTTTTGGCCGTGAGTGGGAATCGCGTTAACCGCTACACTACCGCTCCCCCCCTACACACACACACACACACGGACACACACAGACACACGTACGTTGTAGGCAAAACAAGTTCCCTGGGCGATTATTCTTCGTCGCCACCGATTTAATGCCCATACCTGAGAATCAAGTTAAAGTTTATTTTGTTTGACCAGGTGACAACTCAAGAGACCAGGAAAGTCTCATTTGCAAGAGAGACACGTTTCAATTCCCCGGCACGGCTAACCTAACATCAGTGTCGAGTGCTATCCGACCTGACCATGGGGACGCCTCCCTTTCACAAACCCGCACTGATCGGCGTGGTGAAGTATGGTCAAACGTGGAGAGGGGAGGAGGGGCGGGAATTAATCCAGAAATACATTGACAAAATGGACTTTACGTTTATTTCGGGCGAATGCACTGCACAGGCATGAAAAGCAGCACCATATATGTGTGAATGTTGAACTTATTTCACAACCGTACGTAGCCAACCGCGGTAACCGTGCTAATCTGAAGCGCTGGCCAGACTGCATTTAAAACAAAACAATTTTTTTTATGGCCCACTGAGCTTTATAGCTTTTTTTCAGAAGCGACATGGCCACAAATGAAAGCTCCACGAGAAGTGGCTTATTGTGTGGACATTTATAGCAGCCAAATACTACTAAACGCACACTGATTCTCAACGTGGAGGGAAAAACTGGAGGACCCGGAGAGAAATCCACGCGACCACGGGAATAACACGCAAGCTCCAAATATACAAGCGTTTGGGTCGGGATCGAACCCACGCCCACCTGCATACCAGGCGAGGTAGTGAACATCCCGGCACCGCGACACCCTCAATGATGCTGCTCCCGTCACGTATACAAGACCACCTCCTCCTCCTCCTCCGCCCACGTGTCCCAGCAAGAGTACTGCCGTCTTCCGAGTGCGTCTCTCTGATGCTGCTGATATTGACCGCTCGCGGAAGGTCGTCGTTTGTTGGCTGCATGTCAACCGTAAAGCAGGTGCAGCCAAGCCTCGGATGCCACGCGCATTATCTCTCCTCCTTCTGCGGGGGCCACGTGTTCTGCGCGCACACGCGCCTGCCCCGTCTCTCGAAACGAAACCCGCTGCTTGTGTGTGTGTGTGTAGCCTGGCACAAGCGTCGTGGTCACGTCACCGCCACTTAGTGGCGAATGGCGGTTGTTGTTGTTGTTATTGTTGTGCGTTTATTTTGTGGTATCCTCAGGGTTCCAGCATCACCGACACCTGCACGGAAATGCTGAAGCAGGGCTCCCTGCTCAAGATCTCGGCCGGCAACATTCAGGAGCGCGTCTTCTTTCTCTTCGACAACCTCCTCGTCTACTGCAAGCGCAAGTCCCGGTGAGCCCCCGGCCCCCACCGCCACCGTCGCTGTCCCCTCCACTCAAACCCGACGGCCGCTTTGCATTCTGGCCCCGGCATCGCGTCCTTGACGTGCGGCGCTGGTGTGGTTTAGTTCGTGAAACCCACACAATGTGTTTCCTATTTGGCTGCTATGTAATTTGTGTGTGTGTGTGTAAGCGTGAGCCTGCGTGTGTGTACATGGGGGAGCATGTACACGCATATATTAAGCTGGTTGTGTTTTTATTTGCTTCATCACTGTGCTTTAAAAAAAAAGTGTTTTGCTTTGCAAATATATAATCCTACCCTGGAGTTCTCACCCGGTTAGGCAAGATAGACTTGACATCAAGGGCAAGCAGTGTCTGAAACTGTTAGGCGTCTCCCCTAGGTTGACTCGGCATGAAATGAGCACCCGGTGGTGTGTGAACATCGGTGCTGGAGAGACAACAGCAGTCTGCTGTGGTGTTGGACCACACCACCTGCTTTAAGAGCACTCGCCCCTATTGTCTCAAAGGTTAAATAGGGATTTTTTTTTTGCTTTGTGTGTGTGTGTGCATGTGTGTACACAATCAAGGGGGGGGGGAGCGGTGGCGTCGTGGTCGGCGCACTTTGTTACGAACCCGGCGACCTGAGTTCGATATCTGCTTGCTTGCCTCCGGCCTCAAATGAGCACCTGGTGTGTGGTGTGTAAACATTGTCACTCGGGAAACAAAGGTGGTCGGGCACGGTGCCGGCCACCTACCCTCTTGTGTAGTGCCATGCCGGCCTTCATAGGTGCTCGCAAACAGCACTTGCCCCAAACAGTCTTTGTACACAGTCATGCTTTAAAGGTTGTCGAGGTTTCAGATTTTAAGCACGGATGAGCGATGTAAAAATCCAGTTATGTACTCCTTTCTTGTACATTTTAAATAGTTGCAACGCAATGAGGAATTACATAATTATTGTTTATTTTAATCGTTCTTCCAATGACTGCTAACATTTTTCTGTTCCTGTTTTTAAATCTCTGATGGAAACACGTGCGGGTTTAGCGGGAGTTTGGGCAAGCGCTAAAAATGTGTAACGGGCGTTGTTTTTGTGCACATTGGGAGAGAAAGAAAAACAAGACTTTGTCCGGGCACGTGGAACGTAAACACTGTAAAGTTTTATGCCATATAATATTACGCGTTATACAGCGGCACGTTAAGTCGTTCCAGAGGTGGTCACGAAGTGCAAACATTAGGGGCACATGTGAGGTCCCCCCCCCCCAACCCTCTCTCTCACCTTGTACTTGGGGTGCTCCCAGTAAAAGGCTGGGAAGAGGCCGAGTGGTGTTAGGGAGAGGGTCGGGGAGTTTCGAAGTTGACCACGGTTCCATGGGGCTCTGTGGCTCTCCGTTTCGCTGCCTGCGTTTCACCACGTAAGCGAGTTATTAACGGCAGCTGTAACGAAATAATTGTAGGCCCCCGGTTCTTCGTCACATTACTACTTTATTAATTGGCTGTGTCGGGTGGAGGAGGGTGTACGACACGCGTTTCCCTTCTTGCGTGACCTCACCCCCCCAAAAAAAATCTATTATGAAGCAAGTAAGCACGTTTAATAAAACAAAAAAAAGCGCAACTTTTATAGCCCATGTTAATACACGAGTACACGGTGTTCATGCGCTGTGAGCCCCGTTGTTAAACGGTTCGGTCTTTCTCCAGAACTGGATTGACGTCTGCGCAATGAATCCCAGGGCCATGCAGTGGCAGCGAGCTGCAGTTTTATGGGCTCCCTACGGCGGACCTGCGAGGTCCAAATGAGAGAGGGACATGTACGCTTCGCTCTCCGCGCCTCTCTGTCTCTCTCCCTCTGTGTTGGCACCCAACTCTCTGTGTCCTCTGGCTGCGTCTGTCGCTCAGATTGTTTCCCGCAGTCTCGCCGTGTCGCTCTCCGCACCGCTCCGGTTTATGCCTTTGTATCCGCCTCTCTTTGTTTGTGTCTGTCTGTCTGTCTCCTCATGTCTCTTCACGTCTCGCCACGTTTTCGTGTCTCTCTATCGCTCAGTATGTCCGTTACCATGTTTGTGCCTCTGTCTGTGCCCGTGTGTGGGGAACGGTAGCGTAGCGGTCAGCGCTACGCTGCGCTACGAACCCCGCGACCCGGGTTCGATTCCCGCTCACGGCCAACACCGGTGACAATTATCCGAACCGGTTCTGGGCCTCCCCTAGGTCGACTCGGCCTCAAATGAGTCCCCGGTGCGATGTGCAGTAAACATCGCCACTGGGGGGCGGCGGGGGCGGTGGGGGGTGGGCAAAGGCGGCCGGGGGTGCTGCTGTCCACCACTCCCCCTCGTGCGCCGTACCGGCCTTCGTGGGTGTTCGCTACGAGCACTTGCCCCAATGGTCTGTCGAGGCTACTCGGTGAACCTTTGTCTTTGTCTCGGCGCGCGCAGCGTGGTGTCGGCGAAGGGCCGTCGCAAGAGCAGCACTCCGGCTCGCCGCCCGTCCCTCATCAGCAACTCGGGCGCGGACGCGTTGTACGTCTTCCGAGGGCGCATCAACACCGAGGTCATGGAGGTGGAGAATATGGAGGACGGCACAGGTGCGTGCGGCTTCCGCGTGGGATGGCGGTGGCGGCTCCGCCGCGCACGCCACAGCGACGCTGGCTGCAGAAATGCCACACTGAGAATCGTGCAATTCGTGTTCGAGCATCGACATTGCGAGGACGTGTGGCGTTCGTGCCGTTCTTGTAGCGCAAAAGCTTGTCGCAGAGGTGTGGCGTTTCACATCTTCCCAAATTCTTTCCCCGCGTCTATTTCCTAACTCTTTTACAGAGTTCTGCGTTGAACCTTCAATTCTGCATCTCCATCTCTTTTTAGAATTCTCCTCTTACTCGGCTCGCCTTTTGTGCGCTCTCTCTCCCTCAGCCCCTCGACTGCCCGCAGTCGCCCCAGAACGGGGGACCGTCTGTCGGTCACAGCGTGCTCACATTCGTACGCTCCGTCCAGTTGCTTTCGGGCGGTCCACACGGCCGTGCCCATTGTTCCGACATCTGCGCGACGGGGGTCCCCCTGTCCATTGGTGCCGACGTACGGCGTCTCGCGACTTGCGAGCGCATTTGGGAGCAGTGAATTCCAAATTGCCATTGTTTGGTACCCATCCCATGAGTCCTTCCTACTCCACGTGCATTAGCGTTGTCCTTCCTCCCGTCGCCCGTGCCCGTTTTGCAAAGCCAAGGATGACGATGGTGGCATTGCGTGCGCATCTGTCCGTGCGCAGTGAATGCAGCCGTTTTTCTCTTTTGCTGTGACCGTCCCAGTCGCCCGCCTGATGTTCTCAGCACTTGTGCAATTATACCCGGTGTCTTCAACCGAATGAGAATCCCGCAAAAAACCCGACCAGTAACACATTGCAATCTGAACTTGGGGAGGGAAAAAAAAAAACTGCCCCCCTCGTTTCTCGTTAATGCTCTTGTAAGGCCTGATCGTAAACCTGACTGCATCATTATTGCGCATATTTGCACTTGCGGGAGTGCACCCCAGGGTTCCCTCAATTGTTTCTCATAGCGTGGGTGGGACCTCCGTGTCCCACGTCGCCAAAGCCTCGCGAGCTGCAAATACGGGAATTCAAATTTGGTGTGAACAAACTGCAATGGAGCAGTAACTCTGTACGTTTCCTTTCAGTTATTAAGTTACGTGTCGATTTTCGGAATGCGCGTGCTTTTCAAGGGCTGGCGTTGTTAGCAACGGGTAACTGGTGTGATGTAGATACTGAAGTCTCTGCGTCTACGTTCTTACGTGTGTGTGTGTGTGCGCATACGCAAAGCCGGTTGTAATCACCAGAAAAAACATCATTTACTCAAATGATAAATGTTGTGGGTTTGCTCTCCAACACACCGGAGTGCTGAAGTAGGAACTCATTTGCACGTTAAGTTTACGCGACAAACCTTACTGATTGGCTGCTTCGGGTGGTGGCGGGTTTAAGGGTACCTTTATATCCGTGCGATGTAAGGCACTTACTGACGTCGATTTTTAAGGAGATTATAATGACGCCCACGGTACATGCGTCGAATTGCGTGAATGAAGCTTATGGGACCCGAGGCGATATGTAGTCACCACAATGTAGAAACATAAAATAAATATTACTTCATCGAAACGCGCCCCCCCCCCCCCAATACATTCCATGACAATTAATTGACTTTGCGAGGTGGTACAAGAATGACGCTCGGACCCATGGGGGCAATACACGGGGGATGCGCACACCTTCCGGGTGGCTACGTGCGGTGTGAAAGAAGTTCTGCATACATACATACAACATACATAAATGCATTTGACGCGACGTTCCGCATCGTTCGGCGACCTCGCCCTTCCCGGGGGCGAACCTTTTCTGGACGGCTTGTCTGTTGCGTAGTTAGCCCTTCGTCGCCTCTAACATCACGCAAGACGATGTCACGCGAGTGTATATGGACGGGCGTTGACTTTGTGTAACGGCACTTCACCTAAAGTTAAATCTTGACTTAAAGCTTTCGTGACTGCAGGAAAATCATATTCTTTGGGTAAAGTCACGTCGTAGATAGGTTGAAAAGGTTGAAAAAATATATAATGAATAAAAAAAACTACGACGTTTCGATCACAACGCGAGCGATCGTCGTCAGAAAAACAAAAACGTCGCGGTTTTTTGTTTGTTATTTTTTGTTTGTTTGTTATTTTGTTTGTTTGTTTTTATTGCGCACGAGTTGGGGGTCAGCGTGTTGCAGCGGTGTTCACCCAGCCGGCCCGTGTTTGATCCCCAGTCGCGGCCGGCATTGCCATGGCGAGCGATATTTAAGCTGGCCCTGCCGTCAAAACTTTTTGTGGCTACCGCTTCCAAGGGGGGGGCCTTGCATGCACGTTCAGTGCAATCGGTGAGAGGCGATCCTACCGCGCGCACCAAGCGGGCGCGGCGCTAGCGGCTGCACGTTCGCAATTTTGATTGCATGCTCCTTGGTTCTTTCGGTAAAGTCACGTCGGAAGAAAAATAAAAACAAAATAAAAAATAAGATATGACGACGTTTCGATCGCAACACAAGCGGTCGTCCTCAGGCTGGAAAATAAATATATATTTTGATTGCACCGTGCAGTCCGTCGCAGTACGGTTGCATGCCGTTGCGGTACGGTTGCATGCCGTTGCACCCAATCGAGTCTGCCTCTACATTTGGCGATCTTCATTCACGTGACATGTAGGCACTGTTTATATGTCACAATGCTATGGACGGTGTCGTTATGTTACTAGGTATGCATTTATGATTTTATCGGTGGCGATATGTGTGTTATATTTATATGTGTATTGTTACTTGCGGTAAGGGTCTGTGTATGTGTGTGGGTGCTTGATAATGCTTGTATGCATGTACGTGTGTGTGATTGTTTTTATAATTTTCCATACTTACACCATCCTTTGCACTCTGCTGCATAATGTTCCACCTCGGACAATGTTTTGCGATCGATGTTGTGTAATCCAGTGCAGGGCAATGCAAATGCATCCCACTAATTGCACACCAACATTGCGTAGTGCATCTAAGCTTTTAACAGCATGAGCCCAATTCACCTGCCGGACGATGTTCGATTTTTGGCAAGAAACGTGACGATTGCCGACATCCCCATCGCCGACAATACGTCAGATCACCAAGCTGGCGCTTCGTCCATTTGGTGAGATGTTGAATCTGGGGCTAGATGCGGCTCGGTACTACAGAACGCATGGTAAAACACTACCCGTGTGTGCGTGCGTGTGCGCGTGTGCGCGTGTGTGCGTGCGCGTGTGTGTGTGTGTGCGTGTGCGTGTGTGTGCGCTGGGCTGTTCTTGGCACCCGTAGCCGACTTTCACAGCAGTGGGCACACGGTGAGCAACGGCTGGAAGATCCACAACACGGCCAAGAACAAATGGTTCGTGTGCATGGCCAAGAGTCCCGAGGAGAAGCAGGAGTGGCTGGACGCGATACTCCTGGAGCGCGAGTGTCGCAAGAGTGAGTGTCGTCGCCACCACGGTAACGAGGCAGTTTGGGACGGGCACCGGCAAAACGCGACTTTGGAAGTTGAGGAGCGGCACCGGTGCTTAGTTTCAGCCGGATCGGGTCCGGAACACTTGCAGTTTCCCCCCGCTCGCAAGCCCCAAAAAAAAACAAAAAACAACTAACTACGGTACTTGCGCCAAACTTCCCAAGTGGGACGCCACTCCAAAGAAGAGGCTGAGAGACCCACCGATGTATTTTTATTTTATTTTATTGTTTTTTGTTGAGCTCCAGAACTATGTTCAAGTGGCCGCTTAATTTTAGCTGGAAAAGTCCGGAAGGCTCTTCCGAGAATGATTTGGCACGTCACATACAATCCCGCCTCGAACCATTCTTATTTGTTTTTTTAATGAATCGGTACGTAAGATTATGAGCACATAGGGTACAGGAATTCTAATATTGTTGTGAGTAGGCGTACCCTGTACTCGGCTAGTGTAGTACCTTGCGTCGATAAAACCTACACCTAAACCAAGCCAGCCTAGGAATGTTCTGGAAAATATCGAGTGAGAAATTACGCCCTACTTACTAGCGAATGGTCCCCAGTGATTATTGGTTAATTTACAGATAGGATGCATGAAGTTCACTCCCCTCTTTCTCATGGATAAGAGGAGCTCCTACTGTACCATAGTTTGACTGTACTGTACCTACTGTTCTTGCGCTACTGTGTAATTAAAGGTTACCTTATCACCAGAATTAGAATTTACGTCGGCGTGTTAAAGGGGAAAATATAGGGACTCAAGCCTACCATGATTATTTGTCCAATCATGTTATGGGTATGTCTAAGCCACATCTAAAGAGGTTGGGGGTGGCTGGACACCCACGTCACCCACAGTGGCCGTCCATTTGGTTGAAAGGGATTGGTAGTCGAAGGGGGACCTGAGCTCTGACCGCACGACGTGCTGTGCAAGACGAATCCCACCCTCTGCAGTGGTGGTACACTTGGGAAAATCCTATGGTGGGAAAGTTGTGCTTTTTGGGTCATGGCTAGTTGAGTAACTTATCTCGAATTCCCCTGGGTGGGGTATAAATTTAGCTCTGTGGCACACTAATAACTGCCTCGCGTGCGTTAAAATGTTCACGATTAATGTTTTGGGCTGTGCTCGAAAATCAACTCTGGAATATTCGTAGCACAATTTGTTTAACTTACTTTTATGTGGCAGCAGTTGATTGAATTTTTTTTACCAGTTGCTTATAACAGCCTAACCAGTGCTGTATGTATTATGACATCAACTGTTGTATGTAATATTCATGCAAATGGAGGAGTTGGAAAACCAAATCTGCAATTTCCAAAGGGCAATACTCCTCCCGATTTAATGTCTCTGACAAATTACAATGGGCCATACTTTGACCTTAGTGGTATAACTGCTGAACTTGTGTGCATTTTAATGAGTCAGTGCTGCTAAGCATATGTGTGTGTGTGTGGAGTAGTGCCATAGCATTCAACATTACGATGACTTCCATGTGTAGCAAAAGCAACGATTGCTATTTCAGTCTTGAGAGAGCCTGCCCTCAATCAATTCAAGCCAAACTTAGTAACTTAAACAATGTGTTTACATTAGCACTGGGAAGACAAAGGCGGCCAGGGGGATGTGGGGGTGGCTAAACTATCCCCGGCATGCAGACCTTCTGGCCTTAACAGGACGCTGACAATAAAATGAGAAAAGCCACTCATCAAAAAACAAAGTCCTGTCATTCCAATGGTTCCCAGTGGGTTATTGGTTCGTTTGCTAATTTATACTTTATTTTTATTTTACCAGGGAAGGCCCACTGAGCTATATAGATATTTTTCAGAAGCGACCTGGCCACAAATCCTAGCTCAACGACGTGGCTTATCATACGGAAATGTCAAATACTTCAAACGCCTGTGTTCTAAATGGGGAGGGAAAAACCGGAGGACCCGGAGAAAAATCCACGTGACCACGGGGAAAACATGCAAACTCCAATTATACATGCGTCAGGGTTTAGATCGAGCCCACAACCTCCTGTAGTTAACATATCACCACGGTGGGGTGCCCCTTACAAATAAGGATATGTGAAGTTCACTCCTCACTCTGTCATGGATAACAGCAGCCCCACTGCCACTGTTTGTATTGTACCCGGAGGTCACTCGCGATTGCGCTGGAAAGCCAAGGTGGTGTGCCTGACCGAGTAGAGACCGGCGATCCGGGAGCCAAAGTTGATGCCGCTGGCAGAAGACAGGACAGGATGCAAGGCCTTGGTGGAGTAGCTGCCTTCGCGACCCGATTCAGTTTGGGGAAAAGCGGGCCGACATCGATTGACTTACGTATTTGTTTAGCAAGGCTCCGACGGGCATCTGGGAGAACGAGAGCAACGGCAGTGCCTGCTGTAGACCAGGGCTGAACGATTAATCGATTTAAAATCGAAATCTCAATTTGAAACCATGCGATTAGCAAATCGCAAAGGCTGAGATTGCTTTTTGCGATTTGAAAAGTCCTGTTACTTTCTTATTGGAATTGTTATATTTTTGTATTATAATAACTTTATTTATTTAACTTAACAATTGTTCTATGTTTGATTGTTCAATTTCAATTAAAACATTTAAATATATGTTGGAAGCAATTAATATCTTTTAAGTTCTCATCCTTGCATTAGAATATATAAAATCAGTTCTACCTACGTGACTTTACCGAAGAACCAAAGAGTATGGATTCCTGCAGTCACGTAAGCTTCAAATCAAGATAGAATCAGTCCATATTTTGATGGTATCATGTGGTAATGCTCAATCACATGTTTTACATCTATTACACAGTGAATATTGAGCTTGAAGCTTGACTTAAAAAAAATTTAATCGAAAATCAAATCGCAATCGCAATATCTGTCAGAAAAATCGCAATTAGATATTTTCCACAAATCGTTCAGCCTGTAGACCTCGTGTTGTGCAGGGGCTCTGTCACTGGGCGCGATTTCTCCCAGTTGTCTCCGACGCTGACGGAGAGAGGAGTGGCGGGGGGGGAGGAGACGTTTGCGACGCTTGTCCCTGCTCTTCTCCACTGTAGGCATGAGGCTGGGCATGGAGAGGGACACGTGGATGCTGGTGTCGGAGAAGGGAGAGAAGCTCTACCACATGATGAGCATGCAGGCCGGCCTGGTGCGAGACCGCAAGAAGAAATTCGCCACAGTCCCCAAGTGCTTCCTCGGCAGGTGGGGTCCTGGTGAAATCGGTTCGCGTTGCGTTGAACCCCGGTGAGAACTCCGCGTGGCCCGGGTCAATTCGTGTCCCCATTTTTTGCTCGAACGCGGCCCGGTTGCTGGAGCTTCTCTGGGTAATTTAACACGTAGGCTTTCGCGACCAATATCATCCATAATAGAGGTTTTATTATGGGTGATATTGGATGGTATCATCCATTTAAGGAACGAAACAGGAGGATTTCTCCAAAATTCTGGCTGTCCGCCTGATGATGCTGGTTGTAATTACTGGCGAAACGTCGTACTCAGATTGTAAATGTTGTGGTTTTGCTCTCCAACACACCAGTGTGCTCTACGAGTAACGAATTGGCACGTTCTGTTAACGTGACAAACCTTACTATTTGGCTGTGCTGGGTGGTGACGGGTTTAACGACACATTTGTATATTCATTCGAGCAGTGCGTAGCCAACCGTGCTGATCGGAGGACCATAATCGATGAATTTAAGGAAAATTATTGGTAACGGTAGTTGCGCAAACTTTTGTCTTTGTCCGTCTGTACATGTCTGTGTGTGCATTTCTTTTTGCCTGGAGGTGGGTGTGATTGTGTGTGGTACGCGTCTGTGCGCGTGTGTGCGCGCGTGTGTGCGGTAGGGTAGTGGTTATGCACGCTGCGCTACGAACCCAGCGAGCCGAGTTCGATTCCCGCACACGACCAACACCAGTGAAGATTATTTTAATCTGTATTAGGCATCCGTTAGGTCGACTCGGCCTCAAATGAGTTTTCGGTGCAGTGTGTAAACATCTCCACTGGGGAGACAAAGGCGGTGGTGCTGGCCACCCACCCCCTCGTGCGCCGTGCCAGCCTTCATAGGTGCTCGCTAACAGCACTTGCCCCAAAAATACGTGAAGGCTATAAGGGGCATCTTTACCTTGATGCGATTCTGTTTTGCTTACGATGAGTTTGTTGGATGGAGCGGTGGTACAGTGGTTAGCACATTGTGCAATGAACCCAGCCACATGGGTTCGATTCTCAGCCAAGGCCACGATTTGTTGGAGAGTGTCACTTGACCCGGGTAATGCTTGTAGGCTAATTCAATTCAACCGTGACTGAGTAACCTAATTACACAGTGTAAACATCAGCACTGGGAGACAAAGGCGGCTGTGACTTGTGTTGGCAACAGTACGCCTTGGTGCTCCGTGCTTTCCTCAATGAGTGCTTGTGAACAGCACATGTACCCAACATTCCCGTTGAAGGCTACAGGAGGAATGGTTGGTGGGGGGGGGGGATCTACCTGTCTGTCTGTCTGTCGCTCGCGCGTTTCTTGCACACAGTGAGTTTGTATCGTGGCTCAAGGACGTGGGAGAGATCAGCAAGCGGGAGGAAGGCATCAACCTGGGCCAGGCCCTGCTGGAGAATGGCATCATACACCACGGTGAGATCCCACACACCTCCATTCTCCATCTCCACATTACGTTTAAAAAAGAAACATTTGTATGTTGAACTTCTTTTGCACCGTACGTAGCCAACTGTGCTAATCGCGCGTTGTGGGGAACGACAACAAACTCAACTCAAAAATCAATCCCAAAGAAATTGATTTTCAAATCACATCATTCTGGGTCTCTTCAGCAGAGACGAGGCTGTTCATTCAATATCGCTTGGTTATGAGATCCAGCAAGCTTGGAGATCCAGAAAAATTCAAACCCAAGGGATTTAAACAGGTCCAGAGTTTGCTTGTTTTAAACAATTAAATGCTGCTTGATCACGTTGGTTCTGTAAAGTCATTCAGCCGATGGACTCAAAAGTGTGTTTTATTTCCTTTGCCAATAATAATCCACAGAGATCGAGTGTACGCGGTGAGTCTTGTGTTCGCACACGCAGTTCATTGTGGCACGAATGCACTTTACCAGGACGCCATGCTCATCGCTGCATGGTTATTGCGTGAGGTTGCTGTTTCATTGAACTTTAAAACAAACAAACAAAAAGCACAGCTTCATTTAAAATTATGTCTTTTTACCATCACATCGGAAACAAAAACAGAGAAACACTCGAAATCGTTTTGGCCTGACTGGGTGGCCTCAATGAAAAAATATTGTTGTTTAGGGAAAGAAGGTTCTCAAATATTGCGGGCGAGGGTAGGTGTGGGTTTTGGGTGGTCAGTAGTTAATGCCAGGTGACGTGGATTGGAGGGGGGGGGGAGGGTGAACACAATGAGGCGTGTTGAGTGTCTCCGGTGCTTGAAGACCTACGGACGAGCGAAGGTGCAGCACCGCAAGTGCCTGCTGGTGCCGCCGCTCGCAGCAGAGCCTCCACTCGAGGCCGCTCCGGAAGATTGCCCCTCCGGGAGTGTATTTGTTGTCCTACTCTTTCACGCCGCTCACCGGATGTCTTGGAAGACGTGCGAGCACCCACGCCTCATCACCCCGCACGCGGACCTTCGTAGCGACTGTGCGCTGCCACCCGTGGTTACGCCGCCGGTTTCGACAGAGGCGGGGGGCGATAGGGAGGGAGGTGCCGTGGGTCGTGTGGGTGGTGGGGATTTAATAAAAAGTGCACCCGTCGTTTCACCCAACGCTGCCACGAGATTGAAGTGGCAACCCTCTGGATTGCAAGTCCCACCGTGCTGACTGTTTACACCACGACAGCATCCCCCTCTGCATCAGTATCGGTGCAACGTGACCCGTTCACGCTGCGCATGCCTCCTTACCCGAGGTGACGTCACCGAGTGAATGGATTGATTATTATTGAACAGTGGTCGGTGTGATCCACATCTGTGCCCTCTGTGCGCAAAGCACTTAAGAGACCTTGAGCTGTTTCCATACTTCTGTGAGCTGTGGCGGGGTTGGGGGGGGGGGATGGCACATTGAAGAGTTGAAGATTTCAGTTATCATCATCATCATCATCGTCGGGCATGGTGAATCCACTGCTGGATGAAGGGTTGTCCGTGCTGTTGCCACCGCTGATAATCGTGGCGGCTTCCAAATCGACGATGTCGCCACCGCAAGTACAATCACATTTTACAGAGTTCCACGTCTCCCGAGTCTAAAGTTCCAAGCCTTTAAAGATGCGTCTTTGTTGACCATCCCGCTCTGCTGTGGATGAACGTCAGTCTTCAAAATGCAAGGATGATGTCGTTGGTGACTTTGGCTGCGTTTCTTTTCGCCATTCCAACTCTTAAACTATTAACTTTTTCTTTTTGCCAGGTAAGGCCCCGCTGATCTACGCAGCTCTTTTTTTCAGAAGTGACCCGGCCACACATGAAGCTAGTTGTAATTACTGGCGAAACGTCGTACTCAGATTGTAAATGTCGTGGCTTGGCTCTCCAACACACCTGCGTGCTGTGCAAGTGACAAATTGGCCACGTTCTGTTTACGTGACAACCCTTACTCGTTGGCTGTGTCGGGTGGTGGCGGGTTTTAACGACACATTTATAGATTAACGCGATCTAACCAAAAAAAACCCTCTTATGGATCATCAACCACCACGTAGCCAGTGTCAGGTGTCTTCACAATTTGACAGGAAGGAATCGCATTACTTACAAGAACATGTTTGCAATTAAGCTTTGTGACTAACGAATGTTGGGCTGGGAGCCAAGGGTGGCCAGGAGTATGGAGTGGGGTGGAGGGTGGGAGAGTTACCCCACCCCGAGCAAATCATCCTCCCCTTGCGTCCCAAGCAACCCAGACACAGAGGAGCACGGGGCTAATGGGAAGAGAAAGAGCGCCCCCCCCCCCACACACACAGCCGTCCTGACAGCTGCTTTTGTGAACCAATACGTCTTTTTTTGTGCGATGGCTGAAAGACGTGACGTTAAAGACAAATCCAATTCGCTGGTCAACTGCGTTCGGATTTTGCCCGGACGGACGGTGAGCCCGATTGCACGCGCCCCGTTCGGCCGGTTTGTGCTTGCAGGGTTGATCCGTCTGCCTTTCCCCCACGTGTTTGGTCTTAGTCGAGGCCAGTGTTTGTAATTAAGTGATTAGGGCCTTCGCTTGTGAGCCACCAAACGCTTCACCTCTAATTAATAACGCATTGGCCAAGTTTCTTTTGTTTCTTTGATTCAGCTTCATATTGAAATGAGTTTCATATTGCAGGTCCCCTGATTAAACACTTGCACATCCAACCAATTCAATTCAATTTACAGATATTTATTTTCATTAACGGACCGGATTTTACATCGGGTTGACACTAAAACGCACGTACACACGTGCACACCACAGACTCTATTTTCGCCCGGTTGCACAATTGAGGCAACTGTTGATGACAGAACAAAGGGGTCCTATGACCAGGGCCGGATGAAGGCACGGGGGGGGGGGGGCTTTAGGGGGCTGCAGCCTAGGGGCCTCCGCCAGCTGGAGGGCCTCCAGAGATGAAGCGAAAAGTAATTTCACTTGTGAATGCTGATTTTTTTATTTGTTGTTAGCTTTGTGAAAATACATTTTATTTTTCTTCAACTTTGTTTTCCTTTTGAAAATATTACTGGGGGGGGGAGGGGGGCCTCACAGTACCCTGTAGCCCAAGGGGCCTACAAAATCTTAATCTGGCCCTGCCAATGACCGGTCATCGTGCACTCCTGGCCACCTTTGCCTCGTGCTTTGCTCTTGGCCGAGTCAGTCGATCCTGAGGGAGGCTCCTGCCAGACATACACTCGATGTCGCTGCTGTGTTTAGCTTTGCGCTTACGTGAAAGTATGGTCGGGGCCAGCCACTGCAATCCGGACACGTTAATGTGTGGCTATGTAAACTTTTGCGACGTGTGTGATTTAGCGAGCACCTATGATAGCCGGCATAGCACACACCACACCAGGCTACCTTTGTCTTACCAGTTCTTATGCTTACAAAGCATACCAGGTACTCATTTAAAGCTGAGTCGACCTATGGGAGGCCCTGGACCTGTTCAGATTTTCGCTACTGTTATTGGGCATGAGCGGGAATCGAACTCGGGTCGCCGGGTTTGTAGCGCAAGTTCTTTAACCACTACACTCAGTTCCTCCATACACTTACACACATACACACACACTTGTATAAGGCAACACACAAAGACAGAGATCCCCCGTATAGCCTGTAACAGACTGTTGGGGCAAGTGTTGTTAGCGAGCACCTATGAAGGCCGGCACGGCAAAGAAAGGGGTGGATAGCTCGCGCCACATCCGACCATCTTTGTCTCCTAAGTGGTAATGTTTACTCATCACATCAGGTACTCATTTGAGGTTGAGTCGACCTAGGGGAGGCCCAGGAGCGGTTCAGATAATCGTCACTAGTGTTGGCCGTGAACGGGAATCGAACTCGTGTCGCCGGGTTCGTAGGGCAGCGCGCTAACCGCTACACTAAGGCTCCTACAGCAACACAAAGGCAAAGATCCCCCGTGTACACACACACACACATTTGCTCACATCAACACACACTTAGGCACATAAACACACTGGTGTACAGCAACACACTTCCACACACACACACACAAGTGTGCACCAGCACAGACTTGCATGCTTACAGGCGGACATGCACACATATGTTCATGTGGTCATTATTTGAAGAAGAGAAGACAGAAGGAATTTAATTATGCAAGCAACAGCACTTCCTGGTGCACTCAAACACTCAACACCAAAGTCATCTCTCTCAATCCCTTGGCCAGTGCTCTGAGAAAATTCAATGCAGTCTCACCGGCTGGGTTTTTTTTTTGCGAGCCATCTGAGGTCTACAAACTCCCCGGCATCAACTCCAAAGGGAAATGAAGGAAAGAAAAAAATAATTAATGCTAACAGATGCTTCAACTGCAGCTCTTAAGAGTTTGGCCACATTTTGCCAGATTTGCTGCGTATGCATATATTAATTAGCCTGATTCCACAAACGTTTTTGCTCCGTGCTTAATTGTTACTCCGTTAATGAATTCCTCTTCCGTATTTTTAATTGCTTAATCACAGTTTTTTTTATATATATAAGGAGCTGACCCCGTGTTATTTTCTCGTGTACTGATCACATTTGTTGAGCTTAGTGTCAGTCTGCTGCTGCTAATGTTGTTTCCACTGTGGGTGTGTTGATTACCTACCACCCTGTAAAGTCAATGAATTGTTCGCGATGGACCGCCGTGATTCTTTTCCAAGAATTGATTTTTTTCTTCTTGTTACTGTTGCCTTTGTGCAGTTTTGTTTGTGTGCCATTAGCCCTGAATGTAACATTAGCGTATGCGTGGCTATTCTCTAAGTGCTTTGGTTTCCTCTCTCACACACACACAGATACTCAAACGGTATGTCGCTCACCATGCATAAAACCATTCATTATTATTGACTCTCAGCTCAAGATTCAGCCGACAAATTCGCTCATTAAAGGACAACTTATTAGAGAATCCTTGAATCGTATCAGGGTCCCGAATTCCTGAATCGCGACAACTCATTGCATAGCAATCAAAACTAAACGTAGCAAAAGTTGCCTTCCTGACACACGTCTTGATAACCGTCGAGGTTGGTTTTTTTGTCTCCCCGGGTCAGTGTTTTTTTCCCCCAGGCCTATTTAAGGAAATGCAAACGCGAAGTTGTTGCAAGCAAACTCTGCTGGCTTCGTCATCTCGTTGCCAACGTTATTGCAGCCGCATTAAAAAAAAGTGTCGCCGTGTTTAACCGACTGCTCGGGAAGGAACGCTTCATACGTTGACAAAGTTAACGGTTACAGAGTAACAAAAAAAAAACCAACCGTGGCATTTGCTTAACCTTCCACTCCGCCGCCCCCGCACTCCGGCTCCTCCACAAAAAGCTGCCCAGGCCCTAACGTTTGACAGCTTCAGAGCCATCGCGTTGCCGCTACTTTAGCCCGTGTTTAAACTTTAAGCACCGCAGCCTAAATAACTGCCCCGAATTATTTAAACTCCTCCCCTTATTCGGGCTCAAGGATTCGCATCTGTCTCCGCGCTTTGGCGTGTCGCATAAGCAACGCTCAGTCAAGGAAGTGCGTGTCTGCGTTTGCGCTGGTTTGAGGTTAATGCACTTCCCAATGGTTCCAGCGATCTGGGTTCAAAGCTTAGCCATGCATAATGCTGGCGTCAATGAAAAATAGCATTCATACTTAAGAGCCCTTAACTGGGTCAACTTGAAATGTAATGGTGGCAGCAGCAGCGCACGGCTGTGATCCAGTGTGTTTGGGGTTTCCATTTTTACCCACCGAGATATACAGCTCTTTTCAGAATCGATGTGGCCACACATGATAGCTCAACGGAGTGGCTCGCCATGTGGAAATGTATTGCAGCCAAATACTCTCAGCGCATGTTTCTAAACGTGGAGGGTAAAACCCGAGAAAATCCACGCCACCATGGGGAGAACATGCAAACTCCAAATATACAGCAGCAGGCGTCAGGATTGGGATTGAACCCACGACCTCCTGCATACCAGGCGAGGTGGTTAACATCTCCTAGCCACCGTGGTGCCCCAGTGCTCTGGACGCCGAGGGCTTTGTGGATGCACGTACGTTTTGTGAAACTCCCAGAGAGAGACCTCCTTGGCCTGTGAGGTGGCCAGAAGATGGTAGTCCAGCAAGTGGTTCCGTCAACCCAAGCTGCGTGGATCTTTGTTATCATCTCTAATGAGTGGTTCCACCAACACTGACTAAAAAAAACCCTCAGATTTTACACGGGTACAAAATCACTCCTGCCAGATAATAGCAGGGTGTGTAAGCAGAGTTTCACTGTCATACTGTCTTTAGTGTTCCATGTGACTGCAAAAATCTAATATTTGATTTTGCAGCAGAATTTAAATTTTGATCGTGAGCTCATATCCCAATTGGATTTGATGCCAACCATCATTATAATTCCTTAGGGGTTAATACAAAAAATAGCACAACCTCGTGAGGGCTGCATCAGCTTTAGTTAGAGGTGGTCAACAGTGATTTATGTTGTTGTCATTAAGGAGATGCTGGTATCTGCCATGTGAATCTAAACTTTCCACCATTAGATCAGCCAGAACTAGGACTAGAGATGAGCACGTGTCTTTGGGTCGTATTTGTGTCCGTGCGTGGGTTGTGCAAATGACCCGACAAGTTTGAAATACCGTAATGGGAAAATGGCATTCAGGCTAACAAGTCCTCCACATCAACCTGTAAAAAAAAAAACCCAAAGCATTGTTGTCTCGTTAGGTCACCGTCGCCGTGAAAACACAGATTCTGCCACCAGGGCCAGCGAGCCTCATTGTCTGGCCCATTTGGCTCACCGCCGTCACGCATTGTGTCGGGAAAACCTCCTTCCCGTGCAATCTCGGAGGGGTCGTCCAGCCACGCACGCGCTACTATTGAGCCTCACCCGTTGGCACTACGTTGTTTGTCTCGATAATGGGAAAAATGTTATTACAATTTGCGAGTTGTGTTAAAAAATATATATTACGACAGATGAGCAGCATGTGTTTGCAGTTTTTGGATGACGCTCAAGAATTAACACTTTAAACGTGGACCGTTGTGCCGTTACGTATTCCGTTGGGGGCAAAGCCATGTGCCAACCTCTGCCGCCACTCATTGATGCTTCAGCAGTTGTATGATCTCTGCCTGTGCGAGGTATCTAGATGGGTGGCACAGTGGTTGGCACACTGCACTAGGAAACCCAAGCCACCTTTCCCACAACTAACATCAGTGGAGAGTGAAATCTGAACCATTCCTGGAACCCCCCCCCCCCTACCGTCACCAACCTGCATTGACCGGCGTGGTGAAGTATGGTCTAGCCACTCACATGGCCGATATGGCTTGGGGAGATCTTCATGCAGTAGTGGATTGACAACGGGCTGCACGTTGCATTGTAATGTATACAGCCTGTATTCAAGTTGAACTTCTTCCGCGCACAGTACGTCGGCGACCGTGCCAATCGGACGTGTGAATCTGTACGTGCCATACAGATGCGCCACACCTCTGTGTACGTTCCATACAGATGTGTGGCACAGCTGAGAGTGCTTTTCTCGCAATGAGGTAGGTTATGGGTTGGAATCCCCAAGTTGGTGGTGGACTCTCAACCGCGTTATCCTTCTAGGTTCAATGACCACGAGTAGAAGTTTGTGGGGGAGTCAACATTGGATTTCTTATGGAGAGTCTCACCCCACGCCAGGGGCATGTGACATTTCCGCCACTGGCTCAGGGCTGTAAAGGAGCAGATGAGCACTGCCACGTGCTCATTTTAAGCGGGAAGTCAACCTTCACCCAGTGCTCACATAGGGGACTGTTTTGATTTAAACTGTGATGTGTAATGTGCAGATCGTATTACAGCTGTTAAGTAGGGGGGTTGCTGTTCCTGATTCTACTCAGAGCGTGAATGTGTGTGTGTGTGTGCATATGTCTAGATTGAAAACTCCTTTTTTTTAGAACTGATTTTTGTGTTTAGTTTGTTGTCGTTCCCCCCGCACCCCCGATTAGCACGATCGGCTATGTACGTGCGAAAAGACATTCAGCATTTATACATGTCGTGAGTTCAACTGAGTCGCAGACGTATACCTGGAGGCAACACATTTATTTAACTCCAACGCATGGGTTAGCTTCCCCTTAACAGAAGAACAACCTATGGTGGTGACCACCAGGCGAACTTCACTAATTACAACGTAACTGGTGTAGTTAGCCGGGTGGTGACCACCAGGCTAACTACAATAATTACAACGTAACTGCTACTACGGACCGGACCTCAGCTCGGGTCCAGGTCCACGTGTTGGAGACTCGTTGAACGGAGAACGTTGACGAAGGTTTGTTCAGGATGAACAACGACCCGGGTCCCTCTCGAGTGCGAGAGGGACCCGGAAGTGTGGAACTCGCCGACCCGAACCTGTCGACCTCAGTTCGATTCTCGCTCACGGCCAACGCCAATGACGATTACCTGAACCTGTGCTGGGCCTCCGCTAGGTCGACTCAGCCTCAAATGAGTACCTGGTGCGGTGTATAATCATCGCCACTAGGGAGATAAAGACGGCCGGGCGTGGCGCTGGCCACCTAACCCTCGTGTGCCGTGCCGACCTTCATAGGTGCTAGTCGCTCACAGCACTTGCCCCAACAGTCTGTGAAGGCTATTGGGGGGATCTTTGTGGAGAGTGGTAGTGTCGTGGTTTTCGCACTGCACCCCGAACCCAGCGACCTGAGGTTCGATTTCCGCTCATAGCCAATATCAGAGACGAATATTTGAACCAGTCCTGGGCCTCCTCTAGGTCTACTTGGCTTCGAATGAGTATCTGGTGTGGTGTGTCAGCGTTGCCGGTGGGGATACTCCCTCATGCGCCATGCTGGCTTTCGTAGGTGCTCACCAACTGCACTTGCCCCAACAAGTCTGGATGTCTATACGAGTGATCTTTGTTTTTATGCACACGCGTGTGTGTGTGTGTGTTTTTTTTCTGCGAACAGTCTCAGACAAGCACCAGTTCAAGGATGAGCCGTTATTTTATCGTTTTCGCTACGATGACGGAACCTTCAAACCTCGGAACGAGATGCAAGACATGATCTCCAAGGTGAGAGATCCACGATCGTCGTCATCACCATCAGCAGCGACGGCCACATGAAGCACATTAGAATATAGTCACGGCAATAACATGAGCGTCCTTGAGCAGCGAGCAGCTCCATAAGACGTCTTTAAACACGGAGAGTGAGCATAAAACACGAATTGCACTGTATATGAGGGGACAGCGACGACATCGCTCCTCAGCAGTGTTGTGCGTTTGCCTTCTTGTTGCAGAGCTTTTGAGGTTGGAATCGAGAAGGCCACCCCGGTTATTACAGTGGTTGCACATGCCATAAGATACGCCGCTGTCTGATTCACGATGGACGTTAAAATATCCCCCCCCCCCGACATTATTCGAAATGAGGAGGCCACTGTGTACCGGTCGGGTGGTCCACATTTTTGCCCAATTCAGAAAATGTACCACGGAAGTTACTCAAATGGGACGGCACGTAACAGCATCTCCCCCCGACTGTGAAAAAGGACTACTTGGACGTCTGTGAAAAAGAGCTTCAGAGATTATTGGGTCCATCCAATCTAAATACATATTCTGATTCTTAACAATGATTCCACTGCAGACTGAGAAACACAGCACCTTGGTGATAGCCATGCGCGAGAAGAGTGACTAGAATACCAGATGCATTTATAATCATGGATTATTAGAGGAGGATGTGAGGCTTGAATGCGTCATGTATACTAGGGATTTGTGTTTGTGTGTGTGCATGCACGAGCAGTAGTATAGCTGTTCGTGCGCTGCTCTATGAACCCGGTGAGCCGAGTTCGATTCCCGCTCATGGCCAACACCAGTGATGATTATTTGAACTGGTCCTGGGCCTCCCCTAGGTTGACCCAGCCTCATATGAGTACATGGTGCGGTGTGTAGTAAACATCGCCACTGGGGAGCCAAAGGCGGTCGGGCGTGGTGCTGGCCACCCACCCCCTCGTGTACCGTGCCGGCCGTCATAGGTGCTCGCTAACAGCACTTTCCCCAACAGTCTATTAAGGCTATATGAGGAATCTTTGTCTTTGCTCTGTGCATGCACGATGGTATTTGGCAGCCCGAGTTGCATTCCTGGCCAAGTGCAACACCTCTAACTATTGGTGTCTAACCTTGGCTTGGGCCTCCTCTCAGTCCACTGAGCCTAAAATGCTTATCTTGAGGCACTGGCACTTGGAATAATACAAACGTGACCGAGGGGGCATGGTTCTGGCCACACCGTCTCCGCTGGTGATGTGTGGTACGTAAATAGGCATTCGCTCACAGCACGGTAACTAATAGGCTGTTAAGTTTAATGAGATGTGGTGGTATGTGCATGAATGTATGTATGTGCGTGTAAGAAAGGTCGACTCGGCCTCAAATGAGTACCTGGTGTGGTGTGTAAACATGGCCACTGGGGGAAACAAAGGCGGCCGGGCGTGGTGCTGGCCACCCACCCTCTCGTGTGGCGTGCCGGCTTTCATAGGTGCTCACTAACAGCACTTGCCCCTACATTCTTCTAAGGCTATACTGGGGATCGTCTTTATCTTTGTTTTATGAGCGAGTAAACATGATTGCATTGTGTGTTTGTGCGCCCATGCGTGCGATATTGAACGTGTGTGAGCGTTGTTTGCATGTATGTTGAAATTATTTTGCATCGTACATTGCCAACCGTGCTAATCGCAGGTGCGACTGAATGTGTGCGTCCATGCGTGGGCATGAGTTCATGAATGTGCGTGCGAGAAAATCACGGATACAAAACAATAACATTCGGATTTATAAAGCATCTAAACATGACCGCATCTCAAGATAAAAAAAATCAATTGTTTCAGAGGCCAAATAATGGTAGGAATGTGTGTATAATATATATGTTAGATTGACTTGGCCTCAAATGAGTACCTGGTGTGGTGTGTAAACAACGCCACGAGGAAGACAAAGCCGGCTGGGCGTGGTGCTGGCCACCCACCCCCTCATGTGCCTTGTTGGTCTTTATAGCTGCTCGCAAAGAGCGCTTCTCCCTAAAGTTTTTTTAAGGCAATATGGGAGATCTTTGACCTTATATGCGCACGCATATGTACGTAGCATTTCACGACCAATATGATTAAACATTGGTTTATTTTGGGTTAGGCCGCATAGATAAAATGAACAATACATCGGAAACCCTCCTCCACCCGACACAGCCAATATAAACAAATGTCACGTGACTCCAACGTGGCCAGATTCATAATTGTTTCGGCAGCTGCGCCGGCGTTACTGTTGGCGAGTAACCTCACAACATTTAAATGGGTACGACGTGGCATCTACTTGACGAGCCGGGTCAGGAAGCACGTCCACCCGAGATCCGAGCTAACAACCTGGTCGCTCACTCGCGCTGGGTGCAATCTCCAGCGAAACGCCCGTGCCCCGATGCAAACGTTGTGAGATCGCTCACCAACAACAACAAACACCGGCGGTGCTGCTGAAGCGGCCATACATTTGGCCACGTTCGCTTCACGCGGCACTTCCATGAATTGGCCGCGTCGGGTGTGGGAGGGCTTCACGACCTTCCCATTCACACGACCTGACCCAAAATGAAGCGACTGTGAACCGTGCATACGCACGCTCGTGACGGCGTGGCTGCGACGTTCTCTTCACAGGGGGTGCGTCTCTACTGCCGCCTGCACTGCCTCTTCTCTCCCATCGTAAAGTGAGTGCAGAGTTCGCACCCCGCCCTGCTTGCTCAACTCGCCTACGTCAGGGTGCCGCTCAAATATCCAAGCTTGTTGTTCGCAAGGTCACACCCTCCTGATTTTATTCATTTTGCCGTTCAACGGAAGCATTGCGAGGTTAGAGGCAATCGCTCAATATTCACCGGTCGCTCAGCGGAGTTGAATGATGCATTACAGTCAAATACGCAGAAGAGCCGGAGTGTGTGTGTGTGTGGGGGGGGGGGGGGGTTGGCATAGACACAAATAAGTAGAGGAGCAGATTTCTGGGCAACCTGCAATGAGATTCTCAGCCGTTGACGTTGACACCAAAAGTAACAACTTGAGAGAAGCGCGTGATGCAAGAAAATCTGAAACTTCACTTTCCCACGTGCATATTACTTGCACCAAAACCTAAATTCATTAATGTTTCGTATTTCCTCTGTCATCATTACGAGCCATGATCTATGCACTGCTGGGCGGGGATTATTCCCCTGGCTGCTACTTTTGTCACAAGTCGAGTCAAATCGGCCATGATCACTTCTCGCGATGTGTCCTACCCAAGCCCATTTGCTTTCTCTTTGCAAATAACTATTTTTTTTACGGATACTTAAGACAGTAATTGGATTATTATTAACAGTCACTAATATAACATTATACTAAGGCACGGTATCTTCTTTTAAAATGTACAAGCTTTATTCACACATCCGGCCCTACTCATGCTTTAGGCAGTGCTCCACTTCATAAGAACCTTTGGGCGAGAGTGTGCCGATGTCTTCACGACGAACGTTGGGTGAGAATTGACCGTGTAATTATTTTCAGATGTTTTTTTGCCACTATGTGAATCTGGCAATTGTACGACTGTGTCGATATGTTAACTGCCGTGGGGCTGCCACGGTGGTGAGATGTTAACTACCTCACCTGGTATGCAGGAAGTTGTGGGCTCGATCCCGACCCTGACGCCTGCTGTATATTTGGAGTCTCCGTGTTTTCTCTCTCTCTCTCGCCGTGGTCGCGTGGATTTTTCTTCAGGTCCTCCAGTCTTTCCCTCCACATTTAGAAACACACATTTAGAGCATTTGGCTGCGATCAATGTCCACCTGTTGCGCAGGTGTTTGGATGGTGGCCCATCCAAACATTACCCAGACTCAACCATGCTTAGCATCTAAGATCTGGGGTATTCCGTCGTGAGTTTTTTTTATTATAATATGTTTTTTTAAATTATTTTTGTTTTCTATCTACGTGACTTTACCGAAAGAACCAAAGAACATGGGAATACATTTCGAATGAAGTGTTAATTTAGGTTTCACTCAAAGCCTGTTCTGTAATTCACGTGGTTGTGTGTTTTTATATTTCTGTAGGGATAAAGATTACCATCTGAAAACGTACAAGTCTGTGATTATGGCTTACAAGCTTATAGACTGGTTGGTGTCTCAGGTGAGTGTCTGTCTTTGGATTTTCAATTACAGGTGGAGGAATTTCTCTAACTCGTATACAGATAAACACGTTTCATGTTTTCCCTTCTCATTACCTGTAACCTAAATGCATTTATTCAAGACAATATCTCCCACCCACCCCCAATAATGATGCTTAATTTTGTCTTGGAGGTCACCAGGTGGTCAGTGATTAAACCAGGCTCTCAAGTGTAGCGAGCTCATGGTCTCAGCCTGGTCATCAATGACTGTACACGGAAAAAAACAACATAACTAATTAATTATTGGGTTAAATTGCAGCTCCGATAATTGATACATTTGTATATATTTCTTATTTTGACTGCCATGCAATAAACATCTCTCAGCAGTCGGGCAAACATGGGGAGTGTACATTGCCGGCCGTGTGAATAAGAGGTCACTTGAAGGTAATATCGGGAGTAGTTCTATGATATCTGCTTTTGGCGAGATGCCGACAGCACATTTGGAAAAAAATCGAGACAAAAGATAAAAAGGCGTCCCAGTCTTGAGTGAGAATATTGTTAATCCGTTGTGCAGATTTACAACAACAGAAAACTCCTCGACTTTAAATAGGGAATATGATGTATCATACCAAATGTAGCAGTTGATAGACATCAACTTAAATGCATTCACCAATCAATTCCCACAAGGAGGCATTTTCCAATTTAACGTCTATAATGTAATCACGAGATGTGTTTCACGCTACACAGACCGCGTATAGGGTAATGAACCCACTTATTTCGTTATTATTTATTTAATTATGAACCGCAGTTGCCTCGATTGATTTGAGAGGCTTGTTGTTCACGGAGCTCGTGAAAACAACGGGTTATAGGAACGCACCACGTTCCAATCCCTGGAATCCGGTCCTGCTTCCTTTTCCAAGTAATTTGCTCGAGCTGGGCAATGTTGATAAAGTTAGGTGAGCCGGGCGAGGTTTTATCAGCGAGCACATGATGGGGAGAAATGCAAAGGGCTGTTGTGGTTTGTTTTAATGCACATACTCGTGTGTGTGTGTGTGGTGTGTGCCTTGTGCGGAGAAGCGTGGCGTAGCGGTGGCATAGCGGTTAGCAGGCTGCGCTACGAACCCGAACATTTGGGTTAGTTTCCTACTCACGGCCAAAACCAGTAACGAATATCTGAACTGGTCCTGCGCCTTCCTTAGGTTGACTCAGCCTCAAATGAGTACCTGGTGCAGTGTGTAAACATCGCCACTCTGGAGACAAAGGCGGCCGGGCGTGGTGTTGGCCACCCACCCCCTCGTGTGCCGTGCCGGCCTTCATAGGTGCTCGCTAACAGCACTTGCCCCAACAGTCTGTTAAAGGCTATACGGGAGTCTTTGTGCCTTGTGTAAACAACAATGAAGTGAAGTTAAATATGTATTACCTTTGTTTTTTTTAAAAATGTAAATAAGAACAATCGGAATAAAAACAAATCCCTATTTTATACCTGCATTTTAAATCTTAACTATATTTCCAATTTCTAAAATTTTCAGTGTTTAACCATTCGTGTAAGAACATACCTATGAGTAACTGATGTTTTATATATATACATCATTATGAAAATTATTTTTATATTCCGTTTCATTATTTCACGTGAAAAAAAAGAGAATTTGTTTCCACTGAACCCACAATTATGAGAGAAAAAAACAAAAACCAGCCAAGAATATTAATTAAAAAAATATAGACAGTCTGGAAATATTTTCCTGCTGGGCCCCCAATATTTTACGAGCAAAATCCTCCTGGCCTCGATCAGTTAACAAAAACCCTCAAAACCAATGGGGCACGCGAAAACCGTTTCCTGTTGCTAACCCATAGCCACGCGCAAACCCGCTTTTCATGGCATCATAAGCCAACTGCCGATCGCTCTCTCGCATCAACAATCAAGCGAAATAGATTTTGTTTTTTTCTTCATATTTTTGTTTTATATATATTTACACGTGATGTATATTTTTTATTATTTTTATTTTATTTTCTATCTCCATGACTTTACCGAAAGAACAATCGAATATGAATTCCTGCAGTCACGAAAGTTTAAAGTCAAAATTTAATTTAAAAAAATAGCATCAGCAACGTGTATGCCACAATCCACCCCCCCCCCACCACCCCCCCCCCCCCCGAAGCAGATGGCGACGTTCTGTGCAGCGGTGTCGAGTCCTTGTAGGCTCCAGGACTATCGGTTGGCAGGTGTTTTGTGTTTTTTTTCTCTCTCTCCCTACGAGCAACAGTAACCCTGGCAAATCGACGCATCTCGTTAGTCGCGGGAAAAAATAAAAAAAACACATCTGAAGAACGCGATTGGTGGGCTGCTGGGGTTAGGCGAAGCGAGCTTAGCCCGAGAGCCGTTGGCGCCCTCGGTTCGGCGCTCGCTCGGGATGCCCGTCGCCCCTGGGAGGTTTGCCGTTCTGCGTGACAACTTCACAGCCAGAGGGCTGCGCACGGACTCGTGGGTGCGCTCGAGTGTTGGCCAATGTTTCTGTGAGTGTGCTTTTTCTCGGGCGGTTGCCCCCGAATGTCGGGTTCGCATTTGTGGAATTCGTCGACGTTCGTTTTGAATGTTGGTTGTGATTGCGCAATAGTTTAAAGGGTCTCTCTGTTGCATGAGAGAGCCTAGCTGTTGTTCGAGACTGATATGGGGGTCAGAAAATAATGCACTCTGATAGAAAATGTATGTTCATACCCATATGCTATGTTTTGCAAACCTAATGCTCTATCCTAAGTCTCCCTTATAATTGCATTTCATCTGGTAATCAAACAACAACTGGCAAGTGGGACGGAGTACAGCAATATATTCCTGAATCTATCTGTGCAGAGATTAAAGTGTTGGACCCTAATATAGAGACCATGTTTTTTCTTTGTGTACTTCAACATTGCGAACACTCATACACGGCATTGGCCAAACGCCCCGATGCACAGGACAACTTATAAAACGCATCTTTAGCCTCAATGGGGACTTTCCTGGGTAAATAACGGACATTATTTTTTATTGCTCCAAAGTCGTTTCATCGGTGATTACATTGAGGTGGGTAGGGGGGTGATAGATTCCCCCGGCCACAAGCTCACAATGGACAAATCGCGCGTTGTAGCGTCGTGGGATTCTCTTAGCATCTGCAACAGATGTGGGGGGCGGGGTGGTGGTAGAGAGAGGGAGAGAGAGGGAGAGAGAGTTCGTATCTGGGCTTGCGACGAAGTTTGAACCCTGCGGAACGAGGCGTACCTCCGAGACCACCCAGCGATGCCGGCTTCTTTTAATCTCCAAGCCGGTCCTTGGCAAGGTCCCCACGTGATCGTTTTGTCCTTCTGCCTTCTTCAGAGCCTCCCTTTTTCACCGTCGGGTTTCGTCCGCGCTTTGCAGCCGGACGTCTTTTGTTGCCGCCACGTCGCTGAGACGAAGAAGTGATTCAGCTTGAAAAAAAAATCGACGAGTCTGATGAGTAGTTTTTTTTTGGGAGGGGGGGGGCATTTAAGCCCTGGCATCATTGCGCGTTGCGCCGAAACGTATTAGCACGTGCGTCGATCGCTGCTAACTCAGTGATTTTTAGCGGAGGCGTATTGCGTTGTGAACATTAACGCGTCGTGAAATCGTCGCCGTTCCGCATCAAACCGCAGTGTGAAGTCCGAGCGTTGCCTCTGGGTGCCGAGCGAGCGCCGGGTGCAGAGACGCAGTGCCACTGGCGGTGATGCACAAGCGGACGAATAAAAAGACAACTCAACGCATTGACACTGCCCTCAAGAGGAAAACTGATATCATAGGCCGTCATAATCGGTGATGCTTCTTTTTGCTCCTAAGGAGGGACCGTTCATTAAATTATTCCTCTTTAATAGCGGAGTGTTTGTGACGATTGTGTTGCATTTTTACTACGACAGTATTCCCCCTTTATTCGCGAGGGATTCGTTCCGGAGATGCTCGTGAATAGAACATTTTGTGAATGTTGCTATTAGGGGACGAATATTGTACGAGCAACATCTGCAGATGCTCCTTAAGCTCCGAGAAGTTTCTTTCTCTCTATCTCTCTCATCTCTTTGTCATCACTTTCTCTCTGATCACTTTTTCTCATCACTTTATCTCATCACTTTATTTATTTCTCTCTCTCTCTCGACAGAGCTGTGGTAGAGTTTCGGATGCGATTCGCGGATGAGCCAAAATCGCGGATAACGAGGGACTTAGCCGTACTGTATAGTGTTTCGGGCTATGACTTCTTCAGAGTCCGCGAACAGGGCCGTTGCCCTGGCGTGACCCACCCGTGGCTAAGTCGGGGGTGGTCTTTGTCTCCTTGTGCCGATGGGAGCAGGGCGACTGCCGCACGCGCGAGGAGGCCGTCCTGCTCGGCGTCGGCCTCTGTAACAACGGCTTCATGCACCACGGTTAGTACGCCACACGGACGCCCGACTCGTACGCACGCACCGCTACGTGTCCCGTCTGCGTCCAAGAGCGTTGTCCACGCAAAAGGCAAAGGTCTCCACCCCCCCGTGTAGCCTCGACAGACGGCTGGGGAAAGTGCTGTTAGCGAGCGCCTATGAGGGCCGGCACGTCACACGAGGGGGTGGTGTGGCCGGCACCACGACCCCAGCCGCGTTTGTCACCCCAGTGGCGATGTTTACGCGCCGTGCCGGGTACTCATTCGAGGCTCGATGAAACACAGGGCCGATCCAGATAATCGAAATAAATTTTTGTTTGCTTGTTTTAAATCCCCTCCTCTGAACTGTATCCTTTCCACCAAAAAGTTCATTCCTTCCGAACACTGATTAAATTGCAATTCGAGAAACCGTTTGAATGAGATTGCAAACCCATACCCACAGTAGGCATTATAATCTATTTCAAACGAGAGCCAAACATAATCAGGGGGTTTGTAAAACAGCGTGAATCTGCATTTTTTGGGGTTTTCACCAGTTTCCAGTGCAGGGGCACGATAATGGCCTGGTTGTTTTTGTATTTATTTCGCAATGCCAAGTCTCCTTTTTTGCTGAGCTGGTTGTATACAGGCAGGCAATAAAAGACATTCGCAACATCAATGCCGAATGGGTGGCAATCAATGGCCAGTAGACACGCCAAGACTCACCCCTGCTCTCTACTCTCTCTCTCTCTCCCACAAATTGATGAACTGTCACTTTCAGGGTCAAGATTCACGTGTATTAGCGATCTCATACGTTCCGTCTCATCTCTACAGCCATATTCATTCCATCAGGCCGATATTTGTCTGTAATATTTCTAGTTAGTCCTCATCACACACAATTTAATGCATGTGTTGTGAGGGTACGAGTAGACTTTAATTGATGTTTACATTCCTTGCCTATTCAACCCTGGCTGAACCTCCTTTAGGTTGACTCAGGCTTATATAGATAATGCGGAATGGTCATCTGCTTTATACCTTTGCCATTTATTTAGCGTTTTGTGTCTGTGACCTGGGTCTGTCCGGTGACCTCTGGCCAGTGAGACTTCAAACACATCACATGGCCTCAAGGTCCACCTAGCCTGGCACAAAGCGCTGTGGTGATGTCATACGCCACTTAGTGGCGAACGGCGGCTGTTGTTGTTAGCATGCACACGTGTGCGTCACTGTCCGTCCGCGTAAATGTGCGATTTTGTTTCAATGGCAAATGCGCCGTGCCCTACCGCTGCTGCCGCCGCCGCTTCTGCTTCTGTTGTGATTCAGTGCTTGAGAAGAGCGAGTTCAAGGACGACTCGCTGCTCTTCCGCTTCTACGCGGACGAGGATGCCGAGGGGTTGAGCGGTGGCATGTCGCGGAAGCTCTCGCGCTCCGTGAGCCTCCGCGTCGACTTCAAGGTGGTGGAGAACATCATTGGCAAGACGCTGCTGGTGAGCGAGCCACTCCGGGTCTTCCAGGGGGACACGAGCGGCCGTACAGACACCTGCGGTGTGGGCAGCGGTGGCGCTCGTAATGTGAAAACTATTTGAACGACGGTTTTTTATTTTTATTTTACCAGGTAAGGCCCCCACTGAACTATATAGGTCTTTTTCAGAAGCGACCTGGCCACAGGTGATAGCCCAACGAAGTGGCTTATCATCACGTGGAAATTTACAGAAGCCAAAACACTCTTAAACGCATGTTGATTATAAATGTGGAGGGGGAAAAACCGTAGAAAAATCCGCGCGAGACCACGGTGAGAGAGAGACGCACGCAAACTCCTAATATACAGGCGGCTCGGTCGGTATTGAACCCACGACCTACTGTATACCGGGCAAACTAGTTAACATCTGCCCACCGCGGCTTCAATATGAAATTTAAAAATAAGCTTAGGGTCTGAGGAAGCTCAAGCACCTCCAGAATCGTGTTTATCCCAATAAATACCGGTCTGGCAGTCAGTTTATTTCGGGTAAGGCCCATTGAGCTGGCAAAGCCGGCCAAAGCGGCGAGCACCGTTAAGTGGGAATTGGGTCTACAGCGGCTGCATAGAAGAAAAGCAGGGGGACATTTAATAAACGTGGCGAATAAACAACCAGAAATATGTACAACGGAAATCTAGCAAGCGATCCAAATAACGTTATGCATGACACTGGTGAAGGGTCCCACGTCCGAAATTATAATTGAATTCGTAACGGCATGAATTACAATTGACATCTCCTACGTTAAACTAACAGTAATTTCAATGAAAATAGGCATACTTCAAGCTCCATAAATATACAAATCTGATTAACATTTAAAGGGTAAAGAATCGCTCTCATTCCCCTCTTGTATGTATGCCTCCGAACGATCGTGACAACAAACCGTTTTGCCGAAAGAAGAGTGTTTTCGATCGTGAATATTACACAGTACTTCACATGGACACTGACAAAGGGAAATTGAGCAAAATTCTGAAAAGTATGCGGAGTGGAATAGAAGGGCGCATGCTCGGAATTGCACTAAGAGACAGAAAGAGGGAAAATGCAATCTGAGATACCATACCGACTGCCAAAGAAAGCAAGTGGGCTTTTAAGAGAACACATCACACAGAAGGGCTCATGGCCAATATATACGAGACTCGTGACGTGAATGGCAGCCAAAGATGAGAGGACGCCCGACGGGGACTAGGATCGCTGACGTTGGAGCGATGAGATCGGGCGCACCGCCCAGGTAGCTGTGCATTACAAAAGACCACGGGGAACGGCGAGAGCGACGGGCGAGGGGAAGTGAGCCTCAATCCAGCAGCGGATAGCGGCCCCGGAAGCGGCGGCGCTATGATCGGACGGCGTTTGTTTTGAGACGCCCGCTCGTCCTCGCTCATCAACTCGAATCGGCCTCTACGGCGGGGTGGTGGCAAGTGCCCCAATGGGTTCCTCGTGATGGCTGCTGCTGCTGCTGCGGTGGTGGTGGCAGCAGCGCCTTGTGTGGTGTTTTGTTGTTGTTGTTGTTGCCTCCCCCCCCCAATTGTTGTGCAGGGCACTTGCGAAATGACACCGGTCACAATGGAGGCACGAGGACCGCAGCATAGTAACCAGAGAATAGAGTTGAATAGTCTCCAAAAGTCTTGAGATACTTTTATTTCTATTGCTGACAGGCTGAGGATGTGTGTGTGTGTGGCGTGCGCATCTTTGCGTCTTACGGAGAATGGGGAAGTGTGGTAGTTTAATGGTTATAGTGTGCGCTGTGCTACGGACCAGATGATCCGAGTTTCATTTCATGCCATGGCTAACATCAGCGGCGAGTAATGTCTGAACCGGTCCTGGGGGCCTCCCTTAGGTCGGCTCAACATTAAATAATTATAAGTGTCTGGCGCAACATCAGCACTGGGGATACAAAGACAGTCAGGCATGGTGGTGGCCACACCTCCCCCTTGTGTCCTGTGCAGGCCTAAGTAAGTGCTCACTTAACAGCGCTTGCCTCAACGTGTTCTATGAAGCTATCTGGAAGGTCTTTGTTATGCGGGGATCGTTGGTGCAGTGGTTAGCGCACTGCACGATTAACATGGAGATGCGAGCTTTGATTCCTGCCCACGGCTAACATCAGTGGTGGGGTAATATAACTTTTCCTGAGCTATCCCTCAGGTCAAAGCAGCCTCAAATGAGTATCGGGCATGGTTGGTGGTAAATAGTAGGATGTTAAATGTACATAAATGTTATCATCAACGTAATACATTGTTTGCTCAATAATGCATTAATGCAATTGTCCACACAATTATGCATGCATGTTGAACTTCTTTCACACCCGTATGTAGCTAACGATTGCTAATCAGAGGTGTGGTGGAAGGACAACAGACGCAACACATTTCAATTGGTATATATCTTCTTTGCATTTGGTTTAGTTCAACCCTGTAGCCACTGTAGGTGATACGTATGCCACAGCGGAACTGAAAGAGGCAATGCTTGAATTGAAATGCGACTCTACCTCCTGACGTTTTTCGCCGGCTCGCGAGGAGAGCGAACTGTTAACGTAGCGAGCAAACGAGAGCGCCGGGCGGCCACGAATGTGATGGCCGCCCGTGATCCTGACCACATTGCCTCCTTGCAATGCACCACGTTGGCGTTAATCGGTGTTCACCGACAGCACTTTGCTTCGGGGGATCGGTGCGTGGAAGTGGATAAAGTGCGCCGTGCGCTACGACCCCAATGGGACTGTGTTCAATCTCAGACCACAGTGCAAGCAAATAGCAGCGGTGGCAGCAGTTGGTATTGAACCTGGCAACGGTCTCGCTCGCTTCGACTCGGCATTTGACATGGGGGAAAAGCAAAAACGGCTGGGGTGCGTCAACTCCGGTGCTGTGCCAACCTTCTCACAAACAAAAGCTTGTGCCAGCTTAGATGTGAGATTTCCGCCGCCTTTATTAAAATTCGCGTTTAAAATGTATTCGGATCATGACTGCTTGCGCGAGTTTAGTTTAACACCTAGGGCTTTTGCGACCAATATAATCCATAGGTGAGTTTTTTTTCTTTTGGGTTGGATCGCGTCAGGTTTGTCACGTGGACAAAACGCGCCACTTAGTTACTAGTTCAGCACACCCGTGTGTTGGAAAGTAAACCCGCAACATTTACAATTCGAGTACGACGTTTTGCCGGTAATTGCAACCAGCATCATCAGGCGATGGCGAGAACTGCGGAGAAATCCTGCAGAGAGGGGTAAATGTGCTTGCGTGACTCTGTCACCGATTGTTGAATCCCCTTCCTTCCACCCGCGCTCTCCTTGGATCACAGGGGCTGTCCACGGCTTGTGCCAGCCATGTGTTTCTACCTGTGCCCTTTGCCCAACTAACAACTTGGCAGCGCGCTTGTGCGTGCCTATGGGTGCACAAACGTGCTTTTGTCTGCATACGCATTTGCGTGTGTGCGCGCGTGCACGCATGTCTCTCTATGCATGCGTGTGTGTGTGTGTGCGCGTGCACGCATGTCTCTATTCATGCGTGTGTGTGTGCGCATGCACGCATGTCTCTCTATGCATGCGTGTGTGTGTGTGTGTGCCCGCGCATTTCAGTCTGCCTGTATATCTGCGCGTGCGTGCTTTTTGCAAGCTCAATAGCGCATTTTCCCCAGGGTCGTCTCAAGGCCTCTGTATCTGCTCAGAATGGCTAATCGACTGTAACAGCATGGAGCATGGGAAATGGTTTCAGCTGTTTGAGCTTGCTTGGCCCATCGCCAGTCACTGCTGAATGTGTGCTGGCTTGTGCGTTGTGTGTGCGTGTATGCATGTGACCCTTGTGTTCACTTGTGCACTTATGCATGAGTGTCTTTGTTGTGCGCGTTCACGTGTGCGTGTGTGCGTGTGCAAATGGTGTGAAACCGCTACACTCGTTAATGTGCCGTGTGTGTGCCTTTGTCTTTGTGTGGGGAGCGGTGGCACAGTGGTTAGGGTGCTGCGCCGCGGACCCGGCGTCCCGAGTTCGGTTGCCGCTTACGGCCAACATCGGTGATGAATATCTGAGCCGGTCCTGGGCCATCCCCTAGGTTGATTCGGCCTTAAATGAGTACCTGGCGCGGAGTGTAAATATCAGCATTGGAGAGATAAAGGCGGCCGGGCATGGTGCTGGCCACCCAAACCCCCTCGTGTGCCATGCCGGCCTGCATAGGCGCTCGTAAAACATCACTTGCCCCAACAGTCTTATAAAGGCTACATGGGGGGATCTGCGCGTGTGTGCGTAGCATGAGCTCTCTTCAATCCCCCTCTCTGTCTCGTCTTTCCCAGCCCCGCCCATCCATAATGCGTGCGTAGATGCGTAGTTCCTTTGTTTCACGACACAATGCCACGAGGAAAAAAAAATTAAACTGACGATTCTTTGTAAACAATGTTTCCCATGCTTCTACGCCGCACGTGCCAAGATATCTAGCGTTTACTGCAGCCACGGTTTAGTTTATCTGCAAAATAACAGTTGGAAATGCAAAGCGGTGCATTATTGTTAGTGCGCGCCGCGAACAGCATAAAGTTTGAGGTCTGCTTCGGGGAGATTGTTTTATTTTACTTGTCAACGGGAGGCATAGCCAACTGAATACCGAAGAACGAATAAAACGACACCGATATCTTCACCTTTACGCGATCGTCCAACGGATCAGAGATTCCACCCTCTCGCTGTGTGTGCGCCTTCTCCCACCAATTGTCATTTGCAGAATTAGAATGGAACGTCCGCTTCGCACGTCGATACTCCCTTTCACAATATAAAACGTATTTTTTCCCCAAAAGTCACAACTAATGATTCATTTGTATTTGCGAATGTTAATTCAACTCGCAGGGGCCGGAAATATATGCACCTTTTTAAAACTCCACCGCTGGTTTTTCAGATTCACTTTTTTCGTTGAATCCGTGACCCTGTATTGGATTAACAGTCGTTGAGAAAAAAAAAAACTAGCCAGGGTGACCCGCTGGTAGAGCAAGCACAACCGGCCATCGAAAGGTTGGGAGTTCAAATCCTGGTTGGCGGTTGATTCAGCCCATCGTACTAATGTTATCGGGTCGATAACATTTAGTAACACTCTATGGCAGCAGTTCTTAACCACGGACCCCCTCGAGGTGCCAGATGCCCTTTCTGGGGGTGTGCGAGACGTGGCCATGTGTTTTTTTTTTACAAGGTAAATCATCGAACATACAAATTTAGTACGGGCATGTAAGTACAACTACTTTGTTTCATCAAACCCCATGTATTTGTTAACATACAATTTATTTTACGATTGAGAACCAAAGAGGGAGTGCAAAGGCTGCAGTGAAGGTTAAGAACCACTTGCAATGTGGGTAAGTCAAGCAGTGCTTGAGCTAGAGATAGACTTGCTCCTATCATAGGAATGTCACCTCTGGTTCCGAGCTGTAAGCATGCGTCGGGCACAGCCTCGGTGCTCACGATTGAATGCATTCATGACACAGTGAATGCACTTTCAAAATAAGCTACACGTGACAGGTAGAGTCAGAAACAAAACTGTTTAAACAATCGCACCACACCTGTGGTGGCTGTTTTAGAGAAATAAGAATTTATTGGAAAACAGTATTTTATCTATACAAATACGTTTGTAATTCAAATAAGCCCCACACCTCTGATTAGCACGGTTTAGCTACGTATGGTGCGAAAGAATTCGAATATATAAAAGCCAAATTAATGTTCCATTATTATTGGAAACTCAAGATACTTGGTGACAATTTTCCATTAGTGGTGCACAATTCTATTTCCGTAGATATTTCTGCTGTGTGTTGCATATTAGTAACGAAATAAATGTCCCTGAAGTACCTTGATAAGATACAATCACGTGCCATTGCATCACTTCCTCGGTCCCCACAGGCTTCTGGAACAAACAAAAAAACACTTCCCAGGTCAAAGATCTCTGCATGGCTGCTGATTGGAGAGGGTATTGATTCAGTTAAATCTTAAAAAAAAAAACCCACAAATATTGAGTGAAATTGATTTAACCAATAAAATCACTTGACATTTCATTCTTTGGCTCACAGGCCTACTACCAAAAAAATGTTTTCCCAGTTGTACGCGTTGGAGCATGGAAACGTTCAGACGATTTTTAACCTCGCCGAGTTTCATGAGCAGCAAGTCTTTGCGCCGTATTAACCAATGTCACTGGCTGTGGGTAGCAGCAGCCTTCAACCAGCATTATTGCGGTTCCAAAATTAGTCGTAGCAATCGGTAGCACCTGTAAGTAGCCTTGCAAACATCTTAGTTGGTGCGACAAGCACGATCAAAGAACTCGACACGGTCATCAACAACAATAATATAATATGCTGTTCTGGGCAATGCACTTTCTTAAGAAACGTTTCCTGAACGTCACCTGATATAGATTTTTCATTTGAGGGTAATGTTACATACATATACAATCACGATAATGATCAATAGGTCAGATGTATCCGCAAAGTTGTTGAATTGTAATAATTTCCTTATTTATTCAGGAAAGCCATACCGGTGTCCTGCTAAGTTGGATTTTTTTATTTTCAGATGTTTTCAGCCAATTAGTGATTGCCCTGCTAAATTGTTTCATTTTATTTGAAGACGTTTAATACAAGCGAGAGAAAACCGGAGCACCCAGAGAAACCTCACGCACGTGAGGACGGCAACTCGCTGTCCCCGTACAGATGGAAATGGATGGCGATTAGTTCACTTGCTTTACCGCCTTCTCTGGGCGCGCCTGGTTATGTCACCCTCGACACCCGTGGGAAGGGAAGTTTCACAGCGTCTGCACGGTGAATCCACCAACCCTCGCTGCCTCCACCCAGTGCTGGATCATAGGCATGCATTGCCACTCCTGCCCGGCTTTGTATTGTGCCTAAAATAAATAAATAAATAGACAGACCCCAGCGCACTGCCCAATTGATTTTTTGTATTTGTGCCATTTTTTTCTGATGAAAAGCGGCAATGGCCAAATCAGCGGAGAATCGGAGCGATTTATGATTTTATTTAACTGAACAGACTTTTTTTGGAACTGCCTTTTCCGTCAACACAACAATTAAATCCCTGGGATTTTTTTTTTCCACCTTGAACCTAGGCAGACAGCACCGTCTCCCCTCACGAAATGTTCACAACCAGCTGGGACATAACTAGGTTGCACAATATAGCAAGTAAATCATTCAACAAACGTACAGAGTACCTCCTTTTCCCCCAGGATGCCCGTGTCTCACCGATGTCTGCTGCATCTTTTCAGTGGGTGAATTCAGACGCTGTACTAAGTCAAGTTGCACTGCTTTGAGTTACTGACAATGTACAGCAACGTTAATGGCTTTGCCCTCTCCTCGCCCCACGTGCAGATCAAGCCCAGCAAAGGCGGCTTCGGATTTGAGATTGAAGACAAAAACAACCAGGCCATTGTCAAGTCTGTGGAAAGGGGCTCCTACGCCGAGGTTTGTGCACAGCTTCCCGGGTCAACATAAAAAAAAGACGGGCCATTGCTCCGTCAGCCGGTCCCTCCGATACAGCCTTGCAAACATCAGCTCCCACACGCCTCCATTCGCATGAAGCGGGAGTCCGTTTACCCGGCAACGTGCAGGCTGTGATGTATAATTATGCAGACACGTGCATTGTCGAGGCCGCATAGAGGTTCTGGAGGCCTTGGGACTGTAAGGCCGGGGCGGAATGCTATGTGGAGCCCCCTTATTTATTGGCATGACAAACCCAGGCTTGTTGTTTGGGGGGGGCGGGGGCGGGGGGGGCTCTTTTGTGTGAAGCCCCGGGGGCAAATTGCCACTTTTCCCCTTCCCCCTGGGCATCCCTGGTAGACTCGGTGTGTACGCACGCACGCACGTTACTGCCGAGGCAAGTGCCGCCAACCCACGGCGCACCTGGGTTTGTCCCGTGACCTCTCGGCGATCCCTCGACCCTTCACGTGGCCGCAAAGTGCGCACCTGGCCTAGCACAGGCGCAGTGGTGACGTCACCGTCACTTAGTGGGCAATGGCGAGGTGTTGGTGCCTGCCGGGACAGCGGTAGCGTGGATTCTCCTCCCAAGGTCAACACCAGTGACGGTTATCTGAACTGGTCCTGGGCCTCCCCTAGGTCGACTCGGCCTCAAATGCATGCCTGATGTGGTTTGTCAACATCGCTGCGAGAGAGACAAAGGTGGCCGCGCGTGGTGCTGGCCACCCACTTACCTCTTGTGCCCAGCCTTCGTCGGTGCTCGCGAACAGCACTTTCGCCCCCACAAGTTTGTTAAAGTTATACAGAATCGTCATGGTGCGGACGTACAGAGTATAGACGCACAATTTACCCCCCCTCCCTCCCCCCCCCCCAAATATGACGAATCATCACGGTTGCGGTCTCAATTGCATTCGATAATTTATAGTTTAGTTGCTATTGCACGCATGCGTGTTGAACTTCTTTCGCACCGTACGTGACCAAGCGCGATGATCGGAGGTGCGGGAGAAGGGCAACAAGCTAACAGCAAAAAAGCAGTTCTAAAGAAATTAGTTTCCAATCCAGTATAGTAGTGTATTGTTTGGTAGTGTAGAGTGTAGTCTATTGTAGTGTATAGTGGTGTATAGTGTGGTATGTATTGTTGAACTTCTTTCGCACCGTACATAGCCAAGCGTGTTCATCGGAGGTGCGGGAAACTGTAGCAGCCTCTTGTGACTGCAATGTGCCACGTGAGCACTTTACACCAAACACCAGTTGAAAAACATTGAATCTTACAAGATTGCGATTTGACACTCCCGTCATTATTCGTGTAATCATTGATTTTAAATTGACTAGTCGTTGCAGCATCACATGCCGAACACCAATATAACGAAGGCAAAAGATCACCCCCCCTCCAACATAGCCTTTTTGCAGACTGTCGGTGAGAGTGCTGTTGGCGAGCACCTTTTTGAAGCTGGCACAGCGTCACGAAAGGGAGGTGGTGTGGGCAGCACCACGGCCCCCGGCTGTCTCCGTCCCCCCAGGGGCGATGTGCGCACACTGCACAAGGGGCCCTCGTATTGGGCTGCGTCGACCCAGGAGGGGTCCACAATTGGTGCCGATAGTCACCGCTGACGTTGGCCCGCGGGCGAGCAGTGTGCCGACGACAGCTGCGGTTCACCGCCAATTGTGCGTGGACGTAACCACGCACAATTGTGCCAGGCCCGAGATACACTTTGAGCCCCCGTGAAGTCTCATTGGCTCGCTGGCAGGAGGAGGGTCAGACTGCCCTTCTTCAACTGCCTCCGGGCAACCTTCGCGAGCCTTCTACAAAGAGGTTGATCTTGACATCACTTTTCATCACGTCAGCCCATCGCTTCTCTAGCCCACGTGCCTGTTTAGACTCCTCTGTCTAGCCAAACGGAAGCTGCTTGGGCATGTGGTGCCTGGAGCATGCAAATACGTACAAAGACGCAGACAGAGCCCCCGTATAGCCTTAGCAGATTTGTATCGAGTGATTTTCGCCTACACCCCCCAGCACCTATGAAGGCCCGCACGGCACATAAGGGGGTGGGTGGCCAGCCACCACACCCGGCAGCCTTTGCCTCACCAAGTGGCGATGTTTGCACAGCTCACCACGTGCTCATTTAAGCACGGTTGGTTTACGTACGGTGCGCAAGAAGTTCAACGTGCATACATACTTAAGGCTGAGTCCACCTAGGGGAGGCCCAGGATAAATACAGACTTAAGGCTGAGTCCACCTAGGGGAGGCCCAGGATAAATACAGACTTAAGGCTGAGTCCACCTAGGGGAGGCCCAGGATAAATACAGACTTAAGGCTGAGTCCACCTAGGGGAGGCCCAAGATAAATACAGACTTAAGGCTGAGTCAACCTAGGGGAGGCCCAGGATAAATACAGACTTAAGGCTGAGTCGACCTAGGGGAGGCCCAGGATAAATACAGACTTAAGGCTGAGTCGACCTAGGGGAGGCCCAGGATAAATACAGACTTAAGGCTGAGTCCACCTAGGGGAGGCCCAGGATAAATACAGACTTAAGGCTGAGTCCACCTAGGGGAGGCCCAGGATAAATACAGACTTAAGGCTGAGTCCACCTAGGGGAGACCCAGGATAAATACAGACTTAAGGCTGAGTCGACCTAGGGGAGGCCCAAGATAAATACAGACTTAAGGCTGAGTCGACCTAGGGGAGACCAATTATGGGTTCCGATAGTCGCCACTAAACGTTGGCCGCGAGCGGGAATCGACCTCGGCTGCCGCCGACGCACGACAGCGTTGGCGGGGGGGAGGAGGGGGTTGTGTGTCACCCGTTGTGTTTTGCCGGCCTCGCCGTGTGTCGGGCAGATGGCTGGGATGCGCGTGGGCAAGAAGGTGTACGCGGTGAACGGCGACCCCGTGTTCCTGCGCTCCTTCGCCGAGGTGGAGGCGCTGCTGCGGGAGAGCCATCACGGGCGCCTGCACCTGCGCGTACTGCTCGCCACCAAGCCCCGCGAGTGAGATGACGCTCGCCCGCTCGCTTCGCTTCGGGGATTTCGGGATCGGTTTTTGAGACGCTGCAGGAAAATGCGCGCTGGGTCTCTCGGAGTTGGCGAGGCGACCGACGCGAACGTCACGTCCGCACTCTTTCGCGGCCGGCAGTGCCGTGGGCCGCTTTTTGTCAGGACGTAGAGACGCGTGAAATGCACGAGGATCTCGTAGCTCTCGAGCACGCACGTAGACAACAATTTCACTCCCGGTAGTGGCTAACTGACTGTGGTGATGTCAGCGAGCACCTATTAAGAACCACTCTTCCCCAGTGCTGATGGTTGCATACAACACCAGGCTGTCATTTAAAGATTAACCTCGTGGAGGGCCCGGAACCAGTTAAGATATATGCCCCTGATGTTCGCGAAATTATTCTCACAGCGTGGTGCGTCATTCATTCACCAGCGGAATTGACAGCATGCTGTAGGAAAATAACACGGCTTATTCATCTGCAACAGAACTCTCCATTACGAATGTTTACTCATTATGCAAAACAATATCAACAGCTCAAGACAATTCCTTTGTAAAAAAAAAAAGAAGACCCCTTTCATAGCAGCCATCGTCTTGTTTGCTGAAGGATCTGGATTTGTCACTTATGTATTTAAAAATAACACCGACATAAATGCCCCCGTGTAGCCTTTACACATTGTTGGGTAAAGTGCTGTTAGCAAGCACCTATTAAATTTTGATTTAAAGCTTTCGTGACTGCAGGGATTCATATTCTTGGTTCTTTCGGTAAAGTCACGTAGAAGAGAAACAATAAAATAATACAAATATGAAACAATAAAATTCTCACGACGTTTCGACTGCAACACAAGCAATCAATAAAAACCCGCCACTTTTTTCAAATTTTCTTGCTGTGGTTTTCACACCTGATGATGATTGCTTGTGTTGCAGTCGAAACATCGTGAGAATTTTATCATTTTATATTTGTATTATTTTATTGTTTCCCTTCTACGTGATTTTACTGAAAGAACCAAGAATAAGCATCTATTAAGGCCGGAATATCGCACGGGGTGGTGATCTGGCCACAACCATGACTGGCTACAGTTATCACCCGAGTCCTGATGTTTACACACCACACCAGATACTAATTTATAGCCGAGTGAACCAAGAGGAGGATCAGGACTGGTTCCGATATCACTCGCCACTGATATTAACTGTGGCCATTAAATCAAACTCTTGCCTGCGGGTTCTTAGCACAGCGCACTAACCACCAACACTCCCACCAATACGTAACAATAACACACACACACACGTACACCCGACACGCTTTTCCATTCTGTGGCTTTGAAAAGTGTCATTCCTCTCGGGAACAATTTTCATCCGACCTCACGCCAGCCTCCTTAATCTGCTTCCGTTATCCCATTTTATGTCAGCAGTGTTCCTCCTCGCTCAGCCTTGGGGGGTCCAAATTCAAGACTATATTTCACAGCCCGGTTGCACCCCCTCCCCCCAACCCCCCCTCCCCCCCCCATTCAAATGCAAAACACGCTTTGTGCTTTGAATCTGGCCCCGAGGTTTAAATTAAATGGACCTGAAAATCCGCACTGCATTTTGTTCTCCGCTGCCAACAATACACGGACACACGGTTATTATTGCAAATACATTATATATATATTGCATTGCACAACCACAGCAAATGTAATGAATTGACACGTGCGTGTTCTGTGCTTTATCAGGACCACATGCCACACGGCTCTCACCTGCACCTTGTTGTCCTGCCCTTCGGTGGCCAAATTCGGCAAGTGATTATTTTCTCCACCCCTTTGCCGCTCCTCCATAACCGGCAGGACCATTAAAGTGTCCAGCTGTGCGGAGGGACTGGGTTTCCAAATCCGGGGATGCGGACCATCTGTAGTGCACGCTGTGGGCAGAGGTAAGGCTTTAACGAGTAAGTGAATGAAAGAATGAAATGAAAATCGATGGGTTGAATTGACTGATGGCCCGGCGTTCATTAATCAACCCTTAACTGTGACAGCTGCTTGCCAGCTTGAGTGCATTGCCCCCCATATCTGAGTCTGTCCTCTCTCTCTCTCTCTCATTTGGCTGCCTTTGCCATCCAACTTCTGAGCCTCTCTTCTTTCCCCATCCCCCCTCCCCATCATCCTGTGACTTGGATGCTGCGTTTTTGTCTGTCCCAACAACACGCGCACGCTTTAAGCATGACGTGCGTGCGTGCGTGTTTAGCGTGTCCATCTGCTAGGCTTTCGGGCGTTAGGCCAGAGTTCCGCTCTCCAGGGGGAAACCGGCGATCGTGTCGTGAAGCCCTGCTGCGTGGATAATAACTGTGACGGTGACGCGGGCACAGTTTGTTCGTAAACAGCAACGAGCCAAATAAATGTCTGTTTATTCTTTTTTCGGCGGTGCTCGTTACAAAAAAGGCCATTAACAGTGTCCACCGATGATGTTCAAATTCTATTTTTGCATTAACTGGAGCTTCGTAATACAGTACGTAAAAAAGATAATTACCATCTTGTTACTTTTAACATATAGTTGGGAAGGTATTGTTACTGCAATGTCTGTGTGGGTACTTCCACCACTTCCAAGACGTCTGGCCAGCGTGGAAGAGTAGGCCAAATTAACAATTTAACTCTGAAAAAAATGTGTTTTTTATGCAAATACATGATGTCCATGTTTATTGAGTTACTGCTGTCGTTGAGATTCATTTCGTGGTTCAAACGCAAAAGGCGACGATGAGCCGAGCTGCGCTTCCCCGTTATGACCTTGGTGACCTTGCTCCGTGATAACCTTGGTGACCTTACTCCGTGATGACCTTGGTGACCTTGCTCCATGATGACCTTGGTGATCTTGCTCCGTGATGACCTCGGTGCGCTTGCTCCGTGATGACCTCGGTGACCTTGCTCCGTGATGACCTCTGTGACCTTGCTCCATGATGACCTTGGTGACCTTGCTCCGTGATGACCTCGGTGCCCTTGCTCCGTGATGACCTCGGTGTGCTTGCTCTGTGATGACCTCGGTGACCTTGCTCCGTGATGACCTTGGTGACCTTGCTCCGTGATGACCTTGGTGATCTTGCTCCGTGATGACCTTGGTGCGTCTGCTCCGTGATGACCTTGGTGACCTTGCTCCGTGATGACCTCGATGTCCTTGCTCCGTGATGACCTCGGTGACCGGCAAGACCACGCGAGACCCACACACAAACGCCTTGACGAGAGAATAGAAAAACATTTCCCCCACTTTTCCGCATCCCCGCCTCCTCCAACGCCTCGCTTAAAAGTGAACGCATTCGCGCATTCGACTGGTTGCGCAGAACGTCCGAAGCGCCGGTGTTGAGGTTCGTTTGGAAAAAAACGTCGTCCGGCATGTGCTTTGCTAAGGTTCATTGACGCTCGGTGACTTTTTCAAGCCACCGATAAGACTTGATCGTGTGTCGAGCGTAGGTGGGGAAAAGGAGGTAGGGTGGGGCGGTGTATCTGTGTGCGCGAGAGGGCACGGGGGTAGTGGCAGAGATCATGTGCTCGTGGCTAGTCGTCGAGCAAAAGACGATGGGGTCACTGCTTCGTGCGCTTTCAGATGCACTTCTGCGGCCGTCTGGGAACGCTCTTCCTTCCGATATCGGGAAGCCACTGGAGCTGTGCACTTTTAAATAATCGTCGAGATTGAAAACTCATTTCTTTAGAACTGCTTTTTGTTGTTCAGTTTGTCGTCCTTCCGCCGCACCTCGGATTAGCACGGTTGGCCACGCGCGATGCGAAGGGAATTAAAACGCACACACATGTACGGATCTTTCGGTGTGCACTTTGGTAACAGGGCAATGACATGGCCTCGCGGAAGCGCGTTCGCCGTTTGTCGCAGAGGGGTTCCCGGTTCAAATCCAGCAGCCCCGGCCCTCATTAGTCCCGTGGTGTGCTGTGGTGTTAACCACGCAAATACGCGCCATCTGCTTAACAATGGACGCTAAGGATCCTGTGGCGTAATTCGCAAGAGCAGGCCAATTGTGAGCCCGGCATCATGGTTCAAACTTTCCCAATTTGAAAAATTACCCGTAAATTACTTCATTTAAAATCTACACAACAATAATACATTCACCCCCCCCCTCCCCCCCCCCCCCCCACTGTAAAATAACTGGGCAGGACGCTCCTGAAAAAGAGTCACAAGACTCGTTGAAGCTTTCCTGCGTAAACAAGCTGCAGCAGCATAATGATGAGAGGAAAGAAACTGCCGGCAAACGCAGCATTGGAAACATTAACGTGTCAGCCAAGGACATCCACATCTGTATTTTAATGCAGAGAAGGGCTACGTGACGAGAATACGACACCGATCACTTGTAAACGCTTGGGTGCCTATATCCGCATGTTGTAACCGACCCTCTTTCACTTTTCAGCGACCTATTTCTCGCCGCGGTCGATTATTTTCGGACACGTTGACATTTCATAACTGCAAACTGAAGCGTCGTCATTTCGTGCGCGGCGCGTAAGGAAATTACGAGGGTGGGAAACCAAGATGGGGTTTTCGCAGAGCAGCAATAATGCGAACAATAAAATGAGCTTACAAATGCACGCGTACAATTGCAGGATGAGTTCAACATGTGTTTCTGAGCCCACGCATTTTGCCTCTGCCGGTTCAACAAGCGAAGTGGAGGGCTTGGAGCTGAGATCATCACGGAGCACTTAGTCTGATCGTTCAATGGGGGCGACGTAACAATAAAAAAACGTCATCCTTGCTGGGGATTTTAAACATTCACATAACACACCCCCGTGCGTTGAATGGAATGTGCCAAAGGAAAAGTTGGCTTCGTAGGGGGGGAGTGGCGATGGGTGGGTGTTTTTTGGGGGGCGGGGTGGTTTCGTCAGGGATAGGGGGGATGGAGAGGGTCATTAATTATCTGCAGACATGTTGATGGTCTGTTGGAAACCATTTTTTTATGTTTTTTTGCCTCTTACTCTCGTCTGTAATTGGTTAACGTGCAATTACTGATTATGTGTCGAACGTAATTGCCGAGTCTGTGTGTGCGTCAGACTTTTCCATGGCTAAAACAACCCGCTAATGATATAGAGAAAAATAGTCGCATTTAACATTATGCATGCCCTATGTTTTTCATGCAATTACGATCAGGCAGACTTATCCTCTCATCTGTTTTGCACGTTCCCCTTATTAAGCCACGTATGCGATGCGCGTACATATGTATGAACTTCTTTTGCACCGTACGTAGCCAACCGCGCCAACCGGAGGTCCACACGTGGGGGGTGGAGTGGTGCTGCGGTGGCTAGCGCGCAGTGTACCATGGAGCCGGCTACCTGAGTTAGATTCCCGATCAGAGCTAGAAATCGGTCACAAGTGACAAGTGAACCAATATGGGTCTACACCCGCCCGCAAACAGCCTTTTGCCAACCTGCACCGATCAGTTGTGTGGGGAAGTATGATTAAAACAATCTGGGTAGCCAAAAAGGCATTGGGGAGTCCGTCATACATCACTGGATTGACCAAGGGCTGTGAATTACTATTATTGTTATTACTACTGTCACACACACACACATACACACTGTGTACCGCTCTATAATGCAACAAGTTGAAATGGAACACGTTATTTAAATGGAACAAGCTATTCACGGCGACAGTGGAAGATGTGTTTCTCAAAATTGGTTTGTAGAAACAAAGGCAAGAATATACATTAGAGAAAAGATTAGCCCGATTATATTTGCTGATGGCAGTCAATACATCGTCCAGTGCGAATAGATTGCATTGGACATGAGAAGGCTGAACAGTTGGGCTCAATATCGATATTGATATGAGCCAAGCAACCCAACCAATCATTTATAACAAGCTCACGAAAGCAATCAGAGAAATCTGTTTGAGGAACACGGCTGGGAAGCTAAGCAAAACGATGTATACTTTGGACAGTTATTGAAGGAGGAATGAAATCAGAATGATCAAATAGAGGGGTGGATGAGAGTGGGTTGGAGTGCTTTTTAAAAGCTGAACTTGATAATGAAAGTAACCAACGTGCCTAAAGAACAGGTTTTTTTTATGGCTGCCATATGACTTGCTGTGAAACGTGGAACAGAAAGCTGGAGAATGGTCAAGATTATTAAACAAAAGCTCAAAGTGCACAGGGAAACATGGGGCGATGCGTCCTTGGGATTACACCAGGAGACATGGATAGAAACATGGATTCCAGAACATATGTGGACCACAATGCCTTGCTGGTCTCATCAATCGAACAAATATGGCCACCTCATCGCGTGCTTTCAGATGCGCTTCTGCGGCCGTCTGGAACGCTCTTCTGATATCGGGAAGCCACTGGAGCTATGCACTATGAAATCTAGATTGAAAAGGAAATTCTTTGGAGCTGCTTTTTGTGTTTTGGTTTGTTGTCCTTCCCCCGCACATCTGATGAGCACGGTTGGCTACATACGGTGCGAAAGAAGTTCAACATACATACCGTACACGATGGCCAGTGGTGACGAATTAAATGTGTACATTGATTTAAAAAAGAAACCCCATCCAATTACAAATAGTTTATGATGCAGTAAGTCACGTGATGTCCTCTATGTCCGTATGGCCATGGCTGCACACTGTGCTCCACTCCTGGTCGTCACCAACATTTGACGTTGGATGAAACTATGAATTGTAACGTCACGCAATGGAACATTGAGCAGCCAAGAGAATTGTCCTGACCTTTCAAAGCTAATTCACGAAATTTGGAATTGCCTGAGAAAATATTTTTCTTAGGAAGTTGTACTTTGTGCGGTGTTAAAAGTAATGTTTTTTTTTTAAGCTTCATGCTGTATCACATAAGATTTTAGGTGTATATATGTAGGCAGTAAATTGCAATAGTTATGGTTAATGACACGAGATGACTTTTGTGAGTATAAATAACAGCAATTGTACCACTATTATCATAACCCAAAGTAA